ATGGAGACCCAAAATACTGAATCTACCCTCTGTAGCAATGACCACTATCAGAATATGGAACTATTAACACTTAATGTACTTTAAAACACATTTTGTTTTTATGGAGTAATTTCCTTTTCCTTTTTTGTTTTAATTTATGACAAGCACTTTGTTTTGACTGAGCTCCTTTTGATTCGTGCCTTTTTAAAAGCACATTGTGTTGAATAAAAAAAAAGTTAAATTGTCACTGTGGTGTCACTTTCATGTTTTCTAACATTATTCGCTGATTATAATTGTGTAATGGACCGACATCAGTATTTCAGTTTAGAATTAATTTTGTTTGCATGTCCCACATTATGAGTTGAAGAATATTGAAAATTTTGAGTGTATTTCACACATTATGAGTTGAAGAATATTTAATATTTTGAGTGTATTTCCCACATTTATGAGTTGAAGAATATTTAATATTTTGAGTGTATTTCCCACATTATATGAGTTGAAAAATATTGAAAATTTTGAGTGAATTACTCCCTAATTATAAGTTGAGGAATATCAATATTTATAAGATAACATTGAGATAATTTAAGGCAACTGTAAATATAATTTTTATTTTATGTAAACTTAAAACATTTAAAAACATCACTAAAATATTTTTGTGTAATCTGTTACAAAATAATTTTTGAGTTATGTGAACTTATTAGGGTTTACAGTGTACCTCTTCAACCTCATATGACAAAGGCAAAAACCCTTTTGAGAACAAGATGGCCACACCCCCACTTTTTGAGTCTTTATGACTACACACCACTGTCCCCCCCCCACTCCTGTTGCCACAACTTCATTTTCCAAATTACTATGCGTTTCTTGTAGAAAATGTATGTCACTTCCCTTTCCCCTAATTAACTCATACACTATGGCTCTTTTTTTAACGTCTCTTGCCCCATTTACGTTTAAAGAAGAAATCTTAAAACTGCTCATGGATGAAAAAAAAATACAGAGGAAGACACAGAAACCACATCTCTTTACAGAGTTAAGGCTGCGACTGAACTCTTTCATTTTCTTTAGAATTTGCATCACTTATCACTCTCGTGACCACTTTCTTGAGTCTAGCAATTTCAGGGCTTGTCAAACCTCCCCCTGTTATTTTTGACATCAGAAACTTTGCTGATTCAATAAACAATTCACTTTCAGGGAAAAAATCTGTTACATTATAATCCTGCATATATTTCTTCCCTTTTGTCAACTTCAGAAATTGACGTACTTTCTCAATCCCATACCTCCCTTCCACCCCATTTATCTCACTATTTTGTTGTGACGCATCAGATGACTCACTCTCGCTATCCTCCCCAGAAGAAAACTCCACCATCTCTACAACCGGTTTATCTTCAACTGATTTATCAATCTCTACCTTTCTCTTGGAATTAGACCCTTCACCACCCCTTACATTCTTCCTCTTACTCCTCGGTACTTTGAAAACAGCGGCTTCCTTTTCCATTATTTCAATCTCCTCCTGACCTCCAATTTCATTTTCCAGCACCACCTCAGCAACGGCAGTCGCAATCTCACCGACTTTTTCCCCTCCTTCTTTGTTCTGATCTACCACCATTGCCCCCGTATCCACACTGCCTTCCTCTCCTACTTTTCCTACCACATCTGCCCACCTCCTCCCTTCCCCAGCACCCGCACCCTTAGCATGTTCATCCCTTCGCGGTGGTGCATTAGCTGCACCAGCACTAGAGCTGCTACCAGAATCTGCGCGCTCATTCTCGGGACAATTACGCACCAAATGCCCCTCTCTTCCACAGCCAAAGCATTTCATTGATTCAGTAGAAGCGTAGAAAACATAATCAAATCCATCAATCTTAAAACTGAATGCTAAATTCAGTTCATCAATGTCCTTTTTTAAAATCATATGCACTTGTCTCCTATGAGACACGACATGTTTCAGCAACGGAGATTTGCATCCAAAAAGAACCTTCTTTATTGTTGATACAATTTGACCATGACGAGATAACTGTCGCTCCAACACTTCATCTCTAACAAATGGTGGTACGTTAGAAAGTATAACTTTCTTCGCCGGATTCATAAGCGGAAATACCGGCGTCTGCGTCTCCCGCAACACAACACCACTCTCAACTATCATATTCACCTTTTCAATGGAATCTAAAAATATCACTACAGCGCTATTCATCCTTGAGGCTGATTTGATGCTATCATACCCAATAATAGCACCCACTGCCAAGCTACATTCTTCCACTGAACACCCGGCCGCAGCAGGAATCTTAACTCCATGTCGCCGACTAAGTTTTTGAGAGAGAGAGAGAGAGAGAGAGAGAGAGAGAGAGAGAGAGAGAGAGAGAGGAGAGAGAGAGAGAGAGGAGAGAGAGGAGAGAGAGAGAGGAGAGAGAGAGGAGAGAGAGAGAGAGAGAGAGAGAGAGAGAGAGAGAGAGAGAGAGAGAGAGAGAGGAGAGGGGAGAGGAGAGAGAGAGAGAGAGAGAGAGAGATTTTAAATTTGTCTGTTTCATGAGCTGAACTGGTTATCCTACATGGGCGTATCGAAATGTTGCATACAGGAATGACTGCCTCTCATTTCATGTACAGTGGACCCTACACAACTTTTGCAATAATGGGGTACTCATCCATGTCCAATTTAAGTGCACTTGCTTGTATATATGCTTTGTATGTGCAGCACTGCTTTACCAATCAGAAGTAAATAACTAATATTACATTTTGACTATGAACAAGCATATCATATGTGTGTATGATACATCTATTTGTACAATTCTGTTGTCTGGAGTGATTGCATCCATGAGGTATTCTCTGATTCTACCTCTGAAATAAAACAGACATACTGTGTGAGTGGCTTCAGTGACTTGACTTCATCAGTAATCTAGATCAAATGTGTTTGCATAGTCTGGAGATGTTTTTTATGACAACAAGTAGCCTGTTTCTTAATAGAGACACAATCCAATATTTGGTTCCCATGCTTCACTCTGCCACTGTCTTACACTGTTTCGGTGAGATTACACTGTCACATTTTTTTCCCCCTTTCTGTATCACCATCTCAAATTCTAAAGTACACAATAGACGTGGTTTAGAGGCCCAGCTCAATTGCCTATGATGTCAGTGAAATGTTCTGGCCCTGAACAATCTGTTGCTTGTTTGGCCATTTCAATGCATTACAGAGAGACAGGAGCTTTGAGACTCTGTGCGGAGCAACATCAAAAACATGGATTTACAGGGATGTCCCTCACCTGCCTCCCTAGATCACGCCTACATTTACGTCATTTAGCAGACGCTCTTATCCAGAGTGACTTACAGGAGCAATTAGGGATAAGTGCCTTGCTTAAGGGCACATCGACAGATTTTTCACCTAGTCGGCTCGGCGATTAGAACCAGCAACCTTTCGGTTACTGACACAACGCTCTTACCCACTAAGATACCTGCCTACCCTGAAATATGAAGCAATGTAGCCTATCAGTCATTGGTTGAGACCACTGTAATGACAACATCTAAAGTTAAATAGCAAAACACTGACAATATTTTTTTATTTTATAGACTTCACATGTTTGATTAAAGTAAAGAACACTTATTTTCAAGTGAATGGCAACAAGTAAAAATGTGTTCTCTGCTAATAATGATTTTTCAATTGACCATCAGTCTTAAATCCTGAAAACTCTCTCTCACACACAGGCTATCTGATCTCACTGGCCTATAAATAAATGCACACGTAATGAAACTGGGAAACTTCAGGGAAGTCCTCAAGACAAGAGCGGCTGGTGCGGTGGGGACTTCTAGCACGCACACATTGGAAAAAGGCCCGTGTGCAGTTTCTGGGTGTGACTGCACCATTAACAAGAGTGTACAGTAGAAATGATCATAATGTACGTGTTACAATGACAATGTATATTAACATATTTTAATTAGGCTATAATAGGATGACTGACTGCACTCCAAACTGCTTATTTCAAATTGCTTTTGAAAACAACAAACACATTTGTTTACATAATTTATAGCATAATAGTCTTCATGGTTTTTATGTGGCTAATTTAAAGATCCTATGGCAACATTCTAACATAGATATTGTGAGTCATTTGGTCGTCATGGTCACAAGAAGGCTCCACCGAAAGTAAACTGGGTTTTTTTCACCAGCTGGAAAGGTGTGCCGGGTGCCAAGAATGAAACGTGTGTGACGTCACGGCTCTACCTGAGTTTCGGGAAGGGAGAGGAAAGGGGGTGGCATAAACTGATGTGGACAAGATTATCAGAATTGTTCTCCCATGATAAGAAGTATATGTGATTTATACAGTCTTTTTTTTACCCGGATTGCTAAGGACATACATGTTCCAACGTTTTGGAGAATAACATTTTCCTGAAGATTGATTGAGGTTCTATTTTCTCCCGGATAGAAAGTAGCCTACTTCCTGGTTACATTCAACTGCAGGTAAGTTTCGCAGCGGTCGCCTACATTTAGTTAGTTTGCAACCTCGAAATAGTTTAAAGTTCGTAACTAGATGGTTATTAGAAGTCATTACTAACAATATCTCCGTGAAGAAGTAGCCTATATACTGGTCTTTCATATGTTGCTCAAATTTACAGTACGAGCGAGGGGTTGTAACTAAGCATCAACAAAAGTCAAAAGTTTATCACAACAAAAGTCTGTAGCCTATCCTATTGGATTGGTGGGAAGAATTTAACTTTATGGTTATGATTTTGGGATAAATTAATGTAGCAACATTGGACATGGTTTTATTTCCATACTCAACTGACCTGTGTAACAACCATGTCCTGCAGATACACCAGGAGTATCATAAAACCAACCATAATTATGCACTTAGTGGTCCAAGTCTGTTTGGAATCTTGATAGCGTGCCAGCTACATCATGCCCATACAACTCACTGTTTTCTTAGTACAGTGTTTCTAGTAGAACTGAAGTGTTTTGAGATATCTTGGTCAGGACATCAACATAAGTGTACCATATGGGTAGTAGATATCTAACCCTCCCATAGTGGCCCCCTCCCCAGACAGTAAGCATGGCGGTGACCCCGCGGCGTGTTCGGCTCAAGCCCTGGCTAGTGGCCCAGGTGGACAGTGGGCTCTACCCAGGCCTGGTGTGGATCGATCGTGACAACAAGCGTTTCAGGATCCCCTGGAAACACGCTACGCGCCACACCCCCCAGCACGAGGAAGAGAACACCATCTTTAAGGTGAGTAAAGCACATATCTGTTACAGCTTATGAAACAATACATGTAGATCAGTGGTCACCAACCTTTTCTGAGCCGAGATCACTTTCTGAGTCAAAATGCAGGCCGAGATCTACCAAAAAAAACATGACTTAAAATGTATTCTTCATCTGTACCCTCTCTCCCTGTACCAGGCCTGGGCGGTGGAGACAGGAAAGTTCCAGGAGGGTATTGATGACCCTGACCCTGCCAAGTGGAAAGCCCAGCTCCGCTGTGCCCTCAACAAGAGCAGAGAGTTCAACCTTGTCTACGATGGCACCAAAGAAGTCCCCATGAACCCCCTGAAGATCTATGACGTCTGTGACATCCCACAGCCCCTCAGTAACCCAGGTAACTGGCCATGGATGACATACAAATATTTTTTTCAATTACAGTTTAACAACAATGATGGTTTGGTAGCAGCTTTGAAGCATAGCTTGGGTTTTGGAACCCCTTGCTCTCTTTTCATTTTCTCTTCTTCTCTTTCATCAGGATCCTCAGATTCTGGGTCCTGGACGCCGAATGACGGTGATGAAGATGAACCAGGTACTCCAGAGCCCCTCCCTCCTTATCCAACATCCAACGGTTAGTCATGTCAAATATCTCTTATCTCGCTTATTTGTCCCTCACTAATACTGTTTTTCTCTGATGTTTACCAAGTCATTTGTCCTAAACCACACAACAGTTCAGATCTAGCCTCCAGATAATGTTTTCCAAGTTGCCTTATCCAAAAACAACTGCCTAGTGCCCTTTTGTCTGACTTCCACCAGTTTTGATATCAATATCCAAGTATTGTTTTTGGCACGGCATCTAATCATGCTTTGTGTTTCCCTGTGACCGACCAGGCACCAGCCCCGCTCTAATGTGGTCTCCTCCTGGGTCAGTATCGCCCCTCCACCCCCCCAGCTGCCCACCTAGCTGCCCCCCATCAGTTGAAGAGTGGCCCAAAGAGGAGGTTAAGCCATGGCCCAAAGAGGAGCCTTTGGATGTGGAGATGCAGCCTTCCCCTCTGGAGATGGCGCCCCCTCCTCCACTTGACATGCCTTCCCCTCCCATGCCTGACATGATGTTCGCCTCCCCAGAGATGTGGATCAGCTCCTTGCCCAGTGAGTACACTACTACACAGACAAACTCCTCCATTAGGTAAATATAGGGCTGCATACATTGATTGTATACAGTATCACAGGAGTTTGCCCGTACAGACCAACTGATGTCTCTCTTTCTCCCTCAGTGACAGACCTGGAGGTGCAGTTCCAGTATCGGGGTAAGGAGGTGTGTCCAGCCATGACGGTCAGTAACCCCCAGGGCTGCAGGCTGTTTTACGGGGACCTGGGCCCCATGGTCAACCAGGAGGAGCTGTTTGGCCCTATCAGCCTGGAGCAGCTGAGGTTCCCCTCTACCGAGCACATCGCCAATGACAAGCAGAGGGTCTTCACCAACCGCCTACTGGACGTCATGGACCGAGGCCTCATCCTGGAGGTCAGCGGCCATGACATCTATGCCGTCCGCCTCTGCCAGTGCAAGGTGTACTGGTCAGGCCCCTGTGCACCCAACCCCAATGCACCCAACCTCATAGAGAGGCAGAGGAAGATCAAGCTGTTCTGTCTGGAGTCCTTTCTCAGCGGTAAGTACTGACTCCGATCCTACTGACCCTTTTAGCATAGACAGACTCTAACCTTCCTACAGCAACAATGTTTTGTACTACTCTTGGCACAGCTTCTTGCTTATCGATATATTATATATATATATATATATATATATATATATATATATATATATATATTAGGCTGTGCCCTTAGGAGGTATTGTGATAGTGTGATAATATGGCATTTACTGTAGCTGTTATTGCATGTACAGTGAATGTACTAAACATTAGGAACACCTGCTCTTTCCATGACAGACTGACCAGGTGAAAGCTATGATCCCTTATTGATGTCACTTGTTAAATCCGCTTCAATCAGTGTAGCTGAAGGGGAGGGGACCAGTTAAAGAAGGATTTTTAAGCCTTGAGACAATTGAGACAAGGATTGTGTATGTGTGCCATTCAGAGGGCGAATGGGAAAGACAAAAGATTGAAGTGCCTTTGAATGGGGTATGGTAGTAGGTGCCAGTCGCACTGGTGTCAAGAACTGCAATGCTGCTGTGTGTATCAAGAATGGTCCTCCACCCAAAGGACATCCAGCCAACTTGACTCAACTTTGGGAAGCATTGGAGTCAACATGGGCCAGCATCCCTGTGGAACGCTTTCGACACCTTGTAGAGTCCATGCACCGACGAATTGAGTCTGTTCTGAGGGCAAAAGGGGGTGCAACTCAATATTAGGAAGATGTTCCTAATGTTTTGTACACTCAGTGTAAGCTGTGAGAGTGATTTGCTATGTGATATGATTGTGATAGGTTTATATTTGACGTGTGCAGGTGTAATAGCCCATCAGAGGGGCCAGTCGGCCAGCCCTCCTCAGTTCGACATCAACCTGTGCTTTGGAGAGGAGTGGCCTGACAGCAGACCCAGGGAGAGGAAGCTCATCATGGTGCAGGTATGAGACAGTCTTTGTATCAAGATGTTTCATGCAATGATTCATAGAAAACTAATGAAACATTCGTTTTTCATCATTTTAAAATGTGTTGCATTGACCCTCAAGCATGTGTGTTTTGCTGTTGAGTCCCTTCACTGTAACAGCCACTTATTTGGCCCTCTGCTCCCCTCCAGATCATCCCTGTGGTAGCACGTATGATCACTGAGATGTTCTCAGGCGACTGCATGCGCTCCTTCGACAGTGGCAGTGTGCGCCTGCAGATCTCCATCCCGGACATCAAGGATAACATCGTGACCCACCTGAAGCAGCTGTACCGCCTGTTGCAGACCCACCAGGGCCAGGAGGGCTGGCCTCAGGCTCTGTCCCCGGGGGCTGGCATGAGCCTGCCGCAGGCCCTGCACGCCCAGTGAAGCAGCCCAGTCCACCACAGCCCTAAAAAGGCCAGTCAGTCTCATACACAGCTCTGTCTGGACACTGTCTTCTTACTGCTGCCTCTCTACTACTGGGCCATGAGGGGACCTGTAGTCAGCAAACTAGTACTTATGTTTATAAAGGCATGTTCATCAGAATAGGAAAAAGGAGAGGGATCGCTTCAATATAGCCTTTTTTCGTTATTTTGCTATAATGTTCGCTGAGAGGGGCCATGTGTATATATTGTGGTAAATGCTGCTAACAGGCATTGTAAGACTACTACTGTGGCAGTCAGTAAAACATGGTGTGATAGTGTCTGTCTGCAGTTGTAAAGCCCCAGGGCCTTGTACTCTATATGGACAGAACTAGAGGAGCATTGGATGGCAAGGCAACATTGAACATAGTCAATGAGTTACAGGCATAACCCTGTACCCCAGTTACACAATACCAGTCAGTGATCAAGCTTTGTCCATGTCATTGTTATGTCTGCTACCTGTTTTTAACCCATGAAGAATATCTCTGACGTTTCAGTGCTAAAGCAAGATATTTATATATTTTTTCTTTTGGAGAAAAAACAAGCAAGTGGTTAATCTATTATGTGAACTTTTATGATTACTCAAGTGGTTATTATACGTTTGTATCTCATCATGACTGCTGAGATCCATTCTAACTGTTCCTGCTAGGTATGTGAACAGTATCCTATACCCTTTACTTGTTTTTTTATGCTAATACTAGTGGATAAGATCAGGTAACAGTAGATGATTTGGTAAACCAAATGGATTGTTTATTTTCTGTTAGACCTTTTCACCAAAATATTTATAATTTTATGGAATTTAAACCTTTTGTTTTGGTCCATGAAATTAGTATAAGGGGTGTCACTGCACTTTTTGGACAACATTTAGTCTTGTGGTTAGATAGCATTTCATTTTTCAATAACTTTTATCCTCCTAATGATTTGTATTGTATTTTTTTAATTATAAAAATGTCCATAACTAGGCAAGTGATCAGCAATTTTTTTTAAATGAGGCGAATCAGCAATTAAATGTATTCAGTAATGAAAAAGGGTTTGATTCAAATTGACAAAAAGTCATACCATATTCCTGCAAGTGTTTTTATTCAATGGTATTTTATGTCAGTTTTACTGTTCAGTTATAAAAGTGGCAAGTGTGTCAGCTATACTGAGGCTATATGTATTTGATTATTATGAAAGGATGAAACACGTATGCATGAACATGATGCAGTAACCATACAACGCATTAGAAATACACATTTACTTCAAGATGACATTTTCAATGGATGATAGATATCCTTCGCTATAATGTTGACTGCGCTATACAGAAAACATTACAAGTAAAATGCAATAAACATATTTCCCAAAACCCTCAGAGCACGTTCTTCAGTGGTTTGTCCAGTTCCCAGGTCTTGTCATATGGGCCTATAGCAATGCTGTGGTAATGTCATAGAGATACTTCTCTGTGTGTTCTTGTAGTACTTGGTAAAGGTCCCACAGCTGATTCCTTGTTGTGGGGATATCGGCCAATAACAACGTCAAAATGGCCACCACCGTGACTACCAGGAACAGAGACAGCAGGATAAACCAGGGACAACAGCGTCTCTTGGTGGAAAAAATAAAGATTCCATCAGTATCAAGTTAATATAGGACAAAAATCAAGCATAGCCAATAAACATGTTGGAGACATACAGTATGAAGACAGTGGGGACAGACATTGACTTAAATGCTATGATGGTGCTCTGGGTTTGACATTACTAAGATGAGAAAGGGAATTGTAGACATATCCAGACCTCTCGCCTATGGACGTTGGCTTCCATCATGCTTTGCTTCTTGTTGCTGTGGTGTGACATGGCTGGATGAAACTGCTCATCTAAGGGATGCTCTAGTGATGAGGTCAACACATTTACAGACCAATAAATATAATGGTCAAAATAGCAGTTCAAACATTCCTTGACCTACTACTACTACAGTAACACAATCCAACAGTTTTATCTGCTAGTGGGTATTTAATATACTACACCTATGGAGTCCTGTTGCCGTCCTTTGACAATCTCCTGCTGTTTCTTGGTGTCTTGCTGCTGCTGTCGCCATGTGTCTTGTTGTGTCCTGCAGCTGTGCAGGTTATCCTCTAGAAGGCTGATCTTGAGGTGGAGCTCAGCCTCAGTGTGTTGGTGCTGCAGCAACTGGCTCTTCAGAGTTTCCTCCTGTCCCATCACTCTCTGGATGGATGCAAAGGGAAATATATGATGGTATGTAGATATCTTATGTCACTCTAACAACAGGTCAGTGCTGTGTGCGTGCGTGGGTGATTCTCTTGAAACCAGTTTTAACCATGTCAGTAGCAAATTGGGTTACAAAACCATGATGCATCTGCAAAAATCAACTATCATTCTAAAGACTAAGATGTCTAGTTTATGTCACAGTGTCTTATTTTAAATATATGTTACATTTCCGCCTGAATTTTGTACATTTTCACCCCAAATTATCATTAACGAAATGTTTCCGGATTCAATTCTCGTATAATTTTATGCAATTTGACATTAGAAAAACCCAACTTATTTGAATAAAACACAAAAAATGTGTGTACATAAATAATAAAAATGCTATACCAGTTTAACTATAATATTAAACTATAATATAGTAGTTATAACTATAATAACATTCAACTGTAATATTTATTACGTAAAAACACAGTGTCTGTGAACATTTGTCATTACGTAACACTTTTTTAAGTTCCTGTAAAAACTCCAAGTAGTTTTTAAATCCACCCATGATGCATCATCTAGAGCAGGGGTTTCCAAACCTTTTCAATCAGGCCCCCCTTCCAGCAATGGGAACGTCCCGTGCCCCCCACGTCTATTTCTATGGGCACAAGCATTGTTTTTTAACTAAATCTGTGGGCTAAAAACATTAGCTGACTTGGGCTAGTTGATCTGGACATTTCTGACAAGTTATAAATAGCTCTCTAAGGTATGCAATGACTGACATGACAAGAGGAAAACTGATGATGCACTAACCAATTTCAAAATTGCACCTTGTGCATTCTGCTATTACAAATTTAGAGAGCCATTACCTTATAACCATGGCGGCATGAATAGGCTTCAGTGATGAGGTCAATTGTTTGCATACTTGTCTGTCTCCTATTATTTGCAGATTAAGCTAAGGGCCTCTCATTAACGAAACATACATTTCTCATTACCACGTTATTTTTAGGTCCGTTTCGGTAATGAGAACCTTAATATCGGTAATGATAATCAAATCAAATTTTATTTGTCACATGCGCCGAATACAACAGGTGTAGACCTTACCGTGAAATGCTTACTTACAAGGCCCTTAACCAACAATGCAGTTCAAGAAATAGAGTTAAGAAAATATTTACTAAATAAACTAAAGTAAAAAATAAAATAAAAGGTAACACAATAAATTACAATGACGAGGCTATATACAGGGGTTACCGGTACCGAGTCAATGTGCGGGGGTACAGGTTAGTCGAGGTAATTTGTACATGTAGGTAGGGGTAGAGTGACTATGCACAGATAATAAACAGCGAGTAGTAGCAGTGTAAAAACAAGGGGGGGGGGGGGGGGGGGGGGGGTGTTAATGTAAATAGTCCGGGTGGCCATTTGATTAATTGTTCAGCAGTCTTATGGCTTGGGGGTAGAAGCTGTTAAGGAGCCTTTTGGACCTAGACTTGGCGCTTCGGTACCGCTTGCCGTGCGGTAGCAGAGAGAACATTCTATGACTTGGTGATGTACTGGGCCGTACGCACTACCCTCTGTAGCGCCTTACGGTCGGATGCAGAGCAGTTGTCATACCAGGCGGTGATGCAACCGGTCAGGATGCTCTCGATGGTGCAGCTGTATAACTTTTTGAGGATCTGGGGACCCAAGCCAAATATTTTCAGTCTCCTGAGGGGGAAAAGGTGTTGTCGTGCCCTCTTCACAACTGTCTTGGTGTTTTTGGACCATGATAGTTTCTTTGGTGATGTGGTCACCAAGGAACTTGAAACTCTCGACCGGCTCCACTACAGCCCCGTCGATGTTAATGGGGGCCTGTTCGGCCCACCTTTTCCTGTTGTCCACGATCAGCTCCTTTGTCTTGCTGATCATAAGCTAATTCTAATGTATAGTCAATGGGTGTGCTATGCTGGGAACTTATTTACTAGGATAAGTAATCTATAACTTTTTAAATATCAGTTGTTTGATTAAGTAAGGTTTGTCAAGAAATAAAGGGGGGATAAACCCCATTTAATTTACTTAAAGCCATAATTTTGAGTTTGTTTCAGCAAAGAGCAACCCCGCCACTTAAAGGAGGATATCTCCCATTTTGACATGTTTTCACACTTACCTGTAATATTGTTTGATGTCCCAAGACAGCTTTTGGTTCTTATCTCACATATTTAGATACTTTATAGGCATATATTATTGTATTATGTCATTTGCCCATAGGATCCCATTCAATCCAGAAATACATATAAATATATATATGTGTGTGTGTACCTCGAGCTGGCTCTGTAACAGGTTTATATGGTCAATGTTCTGCACCAGAGACTTCCTCATTTGGGTGCATTTGATCCTCTCCTCCTCATAGCGCTCTCTCCACTGTGATGACTGAACCTGGGCTGTCTGCAGTGCCATCTGGTGGACACACAAAATACACACACAGTGAAACTGTCCTAAGACAGTCAAATCAAATTTCTCAAATCGAATCACATACATTGAATTAATCATTGACTGTAATAGAACACAGTGCTATTTTGCGTGATCCAGAGTGCAGCCCTGTCTGACCCCTTACCTCCAGGCTGTGAGCCCTCTCCTGGGCCTTGGTCGTCTGGTCAGTGACCCTCTGGAGCGCGGCCACGGCCATCTCCTCCACCTCCTGTCTCTGCTGCTCCGACTGTAGCAGCAGCATCTTGGCTCCATCCCTAGACAGCCTCTGAGAGAAAGAGAGGAGAATGAGTCAGCATAATGATGATTGCTCTTTGTGGTTTCAGCCTGGTGGTGATTTTGTATGAGCATCCATACTGTAAGTCATATAGGTACAGACAGTGTTCTTGAACACACCTGTACACAGATCTTCAGCTGTGACTCTAGTGCCCCAATCTTTCCCTTCATCGTGTCCTCTTTACAACAGATCTGTGAGGGTAGAGAAAGATGAGACGTGTGAGAGAGATGAGACATACTGACAGTGAGGTAGAAAGACAGAAAAGCAGATAGCAACTGGCAGACGGTGGTAAACGGTTCCTGTGCCATTTCATTTGTCTCTGTACATTTCTCGTGTTTCTCGCTCAGCTTCTCAGTGACAGGATGCAGGGTAGACCACAGCTCCTCCAGTAGAATGATGGTGGAAACACTGTGAACTCGTCTCTGAAACCACAGCCTGTCTTAAACTAGATCACTGAACCAAACACAGTATTACCTCATTTAGAGAAGTGATGGACCAGACACCCCAAGGACCCTATGTCACAATACAGCAGTTGCTCAGAACATCAACCCACTGTCAAAACTACATGGCAGTCCCTTCATGAAACAGAGTATGGTACAGAAATACAGTAATTCAGTGTGCATACATGAGTATGATTGAGATATGGGCAAAGGTAGAGGGACATTTGTGGACATCACATCAGTGTATAAGAGATCCAGGTTCTAACCTTCCAGACATTGTCATGTGAGAGCAGTATAGTAGAGGTGGTGTGCTGCAGTAGAGCCAGCTTCTGTTTCAGAGAATCTTCTCGCCACAGAGCCTCCTATGGAAAGAGATACACCATAATACAAGTGAGGTTGAGGTTCTGACTAAAAGGCATGTCTCAATGATATGGATTATCATTATAGATTCAAATACGGTAGCTTCTTTGCAGTAATCTAAGGAGTCAGCAGAGCAGGATTACACACCTGTAGATACTCTGCGAGTTGAAGGAGGTCCTACATAGAGGACAGAGAGCGAGACGAAGAGAGAGACAGAGAGAGATTGAGAGCGTTATCACAATAGGCATAAAATATATTCCTAACGTGCAAGGAGGGACATCATATACTGTACAGTACATTGTTATTATGGGTGGTGAACTATGTATGTCACACACCCACAACAGTTCAAATATCATAATATCAACTGTACGTTGCTACGCAACACAACTGATAGTGATGTCTTCTGTCAGAATGATGAATGATTATGTACATGGAAACTGTGACTCATTGCTGTGGCTCAGATTTGAATGAGAAAAATATATTGAATCTACCCAAAACATTACAGAGATCTAGTACATCAGAGTTACTTACTGCCTCATTCACGGTGATATAGCCATGCCTGTGAATGATAGGAAGGGAGTGGGGGTCAGTGGTCAAAGTGTTATACATGACAGATAAGCAGTTCAACAGATCAGTGTCTTCATGTTAAGGTCAGTCACTTACTGTACTTACTCTGTCTGACAGCAAGCATTCCTCTGTTGGAGCTGATTGCTTACCAGGCCACTCTTCTCCCGTTGAACTACTAACAGGGAGAGAGGAAGATAATGAAGTTCACCAACAAACTCAAAATTAGAAAAGTATGTTGAAATTTAAATACGAAAATAAGGAGCCCCAGTGAGTTCTATATTTCACCTCTATCTCTGATATCCATACACTTCCTTAGTGTAGGCTGCTGTGAAGTGTGAGGGAATGTCTGTGAGAAGTCAGAGTGAAGCTCCCCTGTTTTGTTTGTACCTCCTGTCCCTTGCTGTGGTGGTGAGGTGATCCACGATGCCTGATGAAACAGTTTTTTCAACTGTCACACACCACTTTTGTGTTTGACAAAACCGAATATTCCAGTTTTTGCGTATAACAGACATATAATAACACAATGTCATACAGGTAATGTGTATTATTATGTCATACAGGTAATGTGTATTATTATGTCACACAGGTAATGTGTATTATTATGTTATACAGGTCATGTCCTTACCTTCCTGATGGAGTGTACGTCTGGCCAGGTGATCCCCAGTGTCTCTGCTGATATAAGGGACTGTCTGTGGATAAGAGGCACTCTCTGCCTGTTGGTCCTCATCGTGACTTTGGTCTCCTTATTTGACTCCTTTTCATCAGCCTGAGGAGTGGCAGCCTGGACAAACTGTCTCCTTCTCTGGAACTCCATCTGTCTTTTCTGCTGCATCTCACTCTTCCAGTCGGCCTCCAGCTTGTGTCCTGGGCTGCGACATGTCGTCACATTGTTGCGATCTCTCAAGAACTCATGTTTTGCTGCCCGCTGTTCCAGCTTTTGGTCGTAACTCTCCATCCGAGGTCGTCTCCTCTTGAGGTCTTTTTGGATCTCCATTTTGGTAGCTGAACTTTAACTGCAGGATTCAGATTAAGACATTAGTATCAGTCCATCAGATTCTTCAAAGAAAGCACGATTGGTTATGGGTGTGTCAAAACAGGATGCATTGCATTCAGCTTTGAGCCGAGATAAATTAGGAAAGCAAGAATGACTTTCAGTATGAATTAAATTAAAGAAATGAAGCCTGACATTCAAACACCTGCGGTATAAAGTCCTACTTTATGTATGTGAAGCATGAGTAATGCTTCACCATAAGCAGAAACTAGCTGTAGTGTGCTATCTCAATGTACGAGAAGGCTGCTGACTTAAAGCTGAGAGACGGATCACTCACAACATAAGGAATCCCCTCATGAGGCTCATACATGACCAAAATCACAAAACATTTCCTCCACAGATGAAGCCTTGTGAGTGTGATCATAGGAGTAGCAAAAACAAACCTGAATACATTCAATGAACCTAGCAGCCTGTTGTCTCTCTATCGCGTCTCAACGTCTGTCTTCTTTGAATTCAGTAACTGTTACTTCTGACTCGCTCTCATAACAGGAAATGAGAGAAACCACACTGCTCATGTTCACGCTGCTGTTCTGCTATAATGACCCCCACATTGCATCCTTACACTGGAATCACACATGGGTAAACCATAAGAGAAGTGACTGGAAGGAAACTCACATTTAGATATGTACTGTGGTAGAGTGGTGTGGGAAAGTTGTAGGCCTGCAGAATGTAGTGGCACTGTGGCTAGTGATAAGCCCAAGCTTATAGTGTGCCACAAGGTGTATGTTTAGAAGATGCACAAATGTTGAGCCACATTTCCAGGTCGTTCCCAACTGACTCTGAATATACTGTGCATTCGGAAAGTACTCAGACCCCTTGACTTTTTCGACATTTTGTTACGTTACAGCCTTATTCTAAAATGGATTAAAAAATAAATAATCCTAATCAATCTACACAAATAAATGTACTCAGTACTTTGTTGAAGCACCTTTGGCAGCGATTACAGCCTCGAGTCTTCTTGGGTATGATGCTACAAGCTTGGCTCTATCAGTTTGGATGGGGAGCGTCGCTGCACAGCTATTTTCACGTCTCTCCACAGATGTTAGATCGGGTTCAAGTCCGGGCTCTGGCTGGGCCACTCAAGGACATTCAGAGACTTGTCCCGAAGCCACTCCTGCGTTGTCTTGGCTGTGTGCTTAGGGTCGTTGTCCTGTTGGAAGGTGAACCTTCGCCCCAGTCTGAGGTTCTGAGCACACTGGAGCAAGTTTCCATCAATGATCTCTCTGTACTTTGCTGCGTTCATCTTTCCTTCGATCCTGACTAGTCTCCCAGTCCCTGTCGCTGAAAAACATCCCCACAGCATGATGCTGTCACCGCCATGCTTCATCGTAGGGATGGTGCCAGGTTTCCTCCAGACGTAATGCTTGGCATTCAATCTTGGTTTCATCAGACCAGAGAAACTTGTTTGTCATGGTCTGAGAGTCCTTTAGGTGCCTTTTGGCAAACTCCAAGTGGGCTGTCATGTGCCTTTTACTGAGGAGTGGCTTCCGTCTGGCCACTCTACCATAAAGGCCTGATTGGTGGAGTGCTGCAGAGATGGTTGTCCTCCTGGAAGGTTCTCCCATCTCCACAGAGGAACTCTGGAGCTCTGTCAGAGTGACCATGAGGTTATTGGTCACCTCCCTGACCAAGGCCCTTCTCCCCCGATTGCTCAGTTTGGACTATAAAGTACTACTTAAGTAGTTTTTTGGTGTATGAACCTTTGACAACTTTTACTTCTACTTCACTACATTCCTAAAGAAAATAATGACACCCAAAAGTACTCGTTACATTTTGCATGGCTAGCAGGAAAATTGTCAAATTCACACACTTATCAAGAGAACATCCCTGGTCGTCCCTACTGCCTCTGGTCTGACAGACTCACTAAACACAAATGCTTCGTTTGTAAATTATATCTGATTGTTGGAGTGTGCCCCTGGCTATCCGTAAATGAAATGGTGCTGTCTTGTTTGTTTAATATAGGGAATTTGAAATGATTTATACTTTTACTTTTACTTTCAGTACTTAAGTATATTTTAGCAATTACATTTACTTTTGATCCTTAAGTAATATTTAAAACCAAATACTTTTAGACTTTTACTCAAGTAGTATTTTACTGGGTGACTTTCACTTTTACTTGAGTCATTTTGTATTAAGGTATCTTTACTTTTACTCAAGTATGACAATTGGGTACTTTTTCCACCCCTGGCTCAAGGGAAAGTCTTGGTGGTTCCAAACTTCTTCCATTTAAGAATTATGGAGGCCACTGTGTTCTTGGGGACCTTCAATGCTGCAGAAATGTTTTGGTACCCTTCCCCAGATCTGTGCCTCGACACAATCCTGTCTCAGAGCTCTACAGACAACTCCTTTGACCTGGTTTTTGCTCAGACATGCACTGTCAACTGTGGGACCTTATATAGACAGGTGTGTGCCTTTCCAAATCATGTCCAATCAATTGAACTTACCACAGGTGGACTCCAATCAAGTTGTAGAAACATCTCAAGGATGATCAATGGAAACAGGATGCACCTGAGCTCAATTTCAAGTCTCATAGCAAAGGGTCTGAATACTTAAGTAAATACGTTTTTTTTTTTTTTTTTTTTTTTTTATGTCTAAAAAGCTGTTTTCGCTTTGTCATTATGGGGTATTGTGTGTAGATTGATGAGGGGGAAAAACGATTTAATAAATGTTAGAATAAGGCTGTAACGTAACAAAATGTGGAAAAAGTGAAGGGGTCTGAATACTTTCTGAATGCACTGTAGCTATCATACTGACAACAGATTGACAACAGGAGGGATTTACAGGACTTTGTATGGGATTGTCCAGGATCCCTCCTTGACAGAGACCTTTGCTCTGTGGGGATGCCATCCTTAGTACCAGGCACACCCACAACCCCTGCCCTGGACCTGAGTATAAATGACTACAATCTCTGGCATTTTCTCCCATAAGGAATTTGACACTCAGTTGAACAGTAACACCCTTATTGGGTGCTTTCAATCCTATGGATCAATGCACTTTTTACTCTGGACTTTGCCCCTGTCTTTTATGAGGAAGTCTTGGGAGTATTTGTTCAGAGTTCCGCAATAGAAACCATAGGCCTGTAATATGAATGGTATCTGCTTTGAAGTAGAAGAGACAAATATATTTATCCATAAATAACACAGAAAATACATTGCCGGACACAACAGGTAAGGTACCTAACATCTATAAACCATAGGTAGGCCTATGTTTTTTTCAGTGTATTTCCTGGTGAGAGGTTGATCGGCTGATGTTTACACATCATGAAAAGGGCGATCAGTATTTTCCAGTGTTACATAAAAACTAGTAGTCTGAAAAGTCTTTGAGCTGAATTTAGAATTCTATTACTGACTTTATTACTAGACTGACTTTTGTTATTATTGTGTGTAATTCGTTAGAGGGAGACACTGATTAACCCGACAAATAGCAAACAGAGCTGTACATCTTTTTAGTAAATATATGGTGCTGATTGAAACATTTTGTTTTAATATAGCTGAACTTGGGTTTGAGTATCTCAAATACTTATTTCTACAGCGTATAGGCCCCTTTCCCCTGCTGTAAGTTGAATTATCTCAAAAATATGTAGCTAGCCCTAATAAAGATTGCATTTGATGACAGAAAAAGATGATGTGTTGCTTGCTGTCAATCCATAGTTAAACCATGATAAACCATCCTCTGATTTTTGTCACTGCTTAATTGTTCAATCGTTGCACATCTCAATCACATAAATGAAGGTATCACAGAAGTTCAAAGAGCCTTGAGGTTTCTGGTTTCAAGTTGTTATCCTTTGGGAAAAATTGCAATAGTGCACAACTAAAATACTGTAACTGTCTAACATGATCTTTAGGCTGTGAATACAGTCCACTGTACTGCCTGTTATAACATAATGACTGATTAACTACAGGGCTTCTGAGGTGTGATGACTAAAAGGTTTGTCGTCATGGTTCAGCTCAGCTCTGGACTGTAATGTTACTCATTCATAGCTATGGTTGCAAAAGGAGGGTATATTACTGGAAACTTTTGTTACCAAACTTTGGTAACTTTCATTTTATCAGAGGATATCTAGTGGCCTTTTTGGGTACTTTAGATTATTACAGGTGTCTGCAATTATCTCTGTCCCTCTGTGTGGTCTCATCACATGTAAAATATATCAAATAAGATGATAAAATATATATAATAATAGAATGACAAAGCTGTAAAACATTATCCTAAATATATACCATCAACTTAGTGAATACCATTGGTGTTTAATATGAGGGTTTCAGCATGAAATATCCGTTGTATATTTTGTTTTACACACTTTGTTGTAAATATTTTAGCACCAAACAGGTGGCAGTTGTGAAAAAAGTCAATCGTTGGAAGAGTCGCAGAGCTAATTGAAAATAATGCCATTGTTGATTAGATGCTTTTTTCATTAATTAGGCTATTTTATCTTGAACCATATGGTCTATCCACTAGAAACTCATGGACAGTATGGACACAGATATACAAATTGTTATACTATATATATGAATAGATTAAAAAAAGTTATTCAAGTATAAATTACCAAAGTTACCATAGATTGCCATATATTACCTGTCATTTGATAAAATAACTGAAGATTCCTGTAACTTTAGTAAATTACCGGTAGCTTTGCAACCCTATTCATAACACATCCTGTATAAAATCTAATGAATAGAATCATGATAATAACAGCAATGGCAGGTGATTGTTGTTATGTTATTGTATCACTGGCCGATAAGGTACAGTACCAGTCAAAAGTTTGGACACACCTACTCATTCCAGGGTTTTCTTTATTTTTACTATTTTCTACATTGTAGAATAATAGTGAAGACATCAAAACTATGAAATAACACATATGGAATCATGTAGTAACCAAAAAAGTGTTAAACAAATCAAAATATATTTGAGATTCTTCAAATATCCACCCTTTGCCTTGATGACAGCTTTGCACACTCTTGGCATTCTCTCAACCAGCTTCATGAGGAATGCTTTTCCAACAGTCTTGAAGGAGTTCCCACATGCTTAGCACTTGTTGGCTGCTTTTCCTTCACTCTGTGGTCCAACTCATCCCAAACCATCTCAATTGGGTTGAGGTCGAGTGATTGTGGAGGTCAGGTCATCTGATGCAGCACACCATCACCCTCCTTGGTCAAATAGCCCTTACACAGCCTGGAGGTGTGTTTTGGGTCTTTGTCCTGTTGAAAAACAAATGATAGTCCCACTAAGTGCAAACCAGATGGGATGGCGTATCGCTGCAGAATGCTGTGGTAGCCATGCTGGTTAAGTGTGCCTTGAATTCTAAATAAAATCACAGACAGTGTCACCAGCAAAGCACCCCCACACCATCACACCTCCTCCTCCATGCTTCATGGTGGGAACCACAGATTTCCACCGGTCTAATGTCCATTGCTCATGTTTCTTGGTCTCTTCTTCTTATTGGTGTCCTTTAGTAGTGGCTTCTTTTCAGCAATTCGACAATGAAAGCCTGATTCACGCAGTCTCCTCTGAACAGTTGATGTTGAGATGTGTCTGTTACTTGAACTCTGTGAATAATTTATTTGGGCTGCAATCTGAGGTGCAGTTAACTCTAATGAACTTATCCTCTGCAGCAGAGGTAACTCTGGGTCTTCCATTCCTGTGGCGGTCCTCATGAGAGCCAGTTTCATCATAGCGCTTGAAGGTTTTTGCGACTGCACTTGAAGAAACTCTCAAAGTTCTTGAAGTTTTCCGGATTGACTGACCTTCATGTCTTAAAGTAATGATGGACTGTCGTTTATCTTTGCATATTTGAGCTGTTCTTGGACTTGGTGTTTTACCAAATAGGGCTATCTTCTGTATACCACCCCTACCTTGTCACAACACAACTGATTGGCTCAAATGCATTAAGAAGGAAAGAAATTCCACCAATTAACTTTTAACAAAGCACACCTGTTCATTGAAATGCATTCCAGGTGACTACCTCATGAAGCAGGTTGAGAGAATGCCAAGAGTGTGCAAAGCTGTCATAAAGGCAAAGGGTGGCTACTTTGAAGAATCTCAAATATAAAATATATTTTGATTTGTTTAACACTTTTTTGGTTACTACATGATTCCATATGTGTTATTTCATAGTTTTGATGTCTTCACTATTATTCTACAATGTAGAAAATAGTAAAAATTAAGAAAACCCTGGAATGAGTAGGTGTGTCCAAACTTTTGACTGGTACTGTAGGTAAAGTACCAGTTGCATTGGCAGCAGTAGTTATCACTGTATTATGCTCTTGTGGTTGATGTTTGTGCCGAAGTGTTCTTGTGTGTTTTCTGCATCTCTGTCTCCTTGTGTTACAGGTGTGTGACCCAGGGGTTCCAGGATGTACAGGAGTAACAGTCCCTATGGCTTGGACTCTAGCAGTTACGCAGGATCTGTCCAGTCCATCCAGTCCAAGTAGGTGTTCTCTTGTGTGCTTGGAATGTAGCTATAACCCTTTTTTTTTTTTGTCTCTGAAATCTAATCTATATTATGCTTTTCTCTCCATTTTCTTGTGGCAGTGGCTATTCAGTGGATGATCGGTCATCACAGATATCAAATCTGTCCAGACCAAGTGCCAAGTCAATATACAGTAAGTAAAGAGAAAACAATCATGTTGACTATTGACCTTGAGCAGTTTAAACTGATTACCTAAAGCATTGTTTATTGTAGATTCATGTTTTGTGAAACGCAACTATGCATAACGTGTTAATTATTCCATGTATCCCATCAGTGCAGAGGAAGGAGTATGCGGACTCTATCACCAAGATGATGGACAAATTCCAGTACAGAGTAGAGGTATTGTTTTGGTTAATCCAATATTATGATTGTACTATGCTAATCAATTAGCCATGATAATGGTCTGCATTTGATCACAATAGCTATGCAGCTATTTCTGTGATTCCAAATGCATGTATAACCCCTGTATGTGTCTGTTCTCCAGCATCTGTTTACCTGTGACCTGGATGGTAGGGAGGTGCGTGATGTGAATGACTGTGTTGAGAGGCTAAAGCTGCTGGATGGGATGGGCCGGGTGTGGGGGCAGGACATGGTCCTGGAGGTGCGGGATGGGAACCTGCTGCTAACAGACATCGAGACTAAGGTTGGTGCACACACTTTATACTTGACAATAAAACACTGGGTGAGCATAGCTATACCCACAGTTTACTAACAGACATTGAGTGTTCTAGATTAGAGAAAGAACATACAGTAGGTGTCATAAGTATTTACCACCCTTGGATTTCTTCACATTTTATTGTGGTACGAAGTGTCATTTTTTTACACAAAACACTCTGTAATGTCAAAGTGGAAGAAATATTACAGTATATACATAAAAAAAAGGTAAATTAAGTATTCACCCCCAAGTCAATACATGTTAAAACACCTTCGGCAGCGATAACAGCTGTGAGTTTTCTTGGGTAAGTCTCTAAGGGCTTTGCACACCTGGATTGTGCAATATTTGCCCATTACTCTTTTCAAAATTCTTCAAGCTCTGTCTACATGTTGGGGATCATGGCTAGAAAGCAATTTTCAAGTCTTGCCATAGAGTTTCAAGCAGATTTAAGTCAAAACTGTAACTTGGCCACTCAGGAACATTCACTGTCTTCATGGTAAGCAACGGGTGTAGATTTGGCCTTGTGTTGTAGGTTATTGTCCTGCTGAAAGGTGAATTTGTCTCCCAGTGTCTGGGAAAAAGCAGACTGAACCAGGTTTTCCTCTTGCATTTTGCCTGTGCTTATGTTACCATTTCTATGAGCTTATAATATAATCTCCAATGCGAAAGGTACTGTTTACTTGAATTTGAATGATGTCAGCACGATTTTTTGTTAATGTTTTCTTCCTCTCCCCCAGTCCACTTATACGTTTCTTCTTTATTTTCCATGGGCTTCACCCAAGTACCTTCTAGTGGCTGGAATACAACCGTATTAAGCCCCTTACAACACCCCACTGCAAAAATGTAATGTTGTCCCAAACATTTCACTGGCCTCAAAACAAACACAGAGGATGTAAGTACTGGTCATGAGAACACCTGCGAAAACTGGACTAATACCCATATAACTATATAGACATGCCCAGTCTACCTATATGGGCAAAAACGCAACCCCCACTCACCATTATAACACTGTGATTAGTAAAGGTAAAAATAAATAAAAACTGAGCATCTCTAGTTTGTATTCTGATTAGAGCTTGGCAGCCCTAAAGTGTTATAGGTTAGAATGTCTCTGGGCCTCCTCTGCCGGGCTGAATGGCGGGGCAAGGTCATGGGTGACCCCAATGAATCAGTGTCCACTTCATCATGGGATGATTGAGTCTCTGAGTCCTCAGCTGTTTCCATATTTACCCCTGTCCTCTCTGGGGTCTCCCTGAGGACAGGCTGGCACTCCTTCACAGCAAAGTGTCTATCAGTCTGACCCTGTTCCTCACTATTATCTGATACTACCTGTGTGCTACTCTGTCTGCTCTCTTCATCCCTACGTGGCCTGTTGATGAATACTGGATAAGAATTCTCATCTGAGCTCTCAGACTCAGCGCTCTCAGCATTTTGCTCCTTTTGCTGGGGTGGTTCCCTTCTCCACAGACCTCTACTCAGTGCTTGAACTGGTTCCTCAAATGGTAGGGAATTCCATGACATGAGCATATTGAGATGCAGAATCCGGGCCTGCCTGTACCCCTCTCGGGTTTGACCTCACAGACAGGGCTGTCATCCCCTTTCCTGGTTACCACCACGTGTATTTGGTCCTCCCAGTGTGATCTTAGCTTTCCCAGTCCCCCACGTTCTGACATGTTCCTCACCAGTACACGATCCCCTGAGACCAAAACCGAACTCATTTTCTTCAGATCGTAATAGGCTTTTCCCTTTGCTGTTGATTTCTCCATGTTTCTTATGGCAATGTCATAGGCTTCCGCTATCTGTTGCTGCCACTTCTTAGCATAATCCTTGTATGGTTTCTCCTGTTCGTTTATCTGTAACTCAAAGACAAGGTCAACAGGTAGCAGTGGAGCCCTTCCGAATAGCAGGAAATACGGTGAGAACCCAGTAGCATCACTGGTGGTACAATTATATGCATGAATGACCTTGTTTAGATAATCACCCCAGGTTGGCCTTTTTCTCTTCATCTTGTGTGTGCAACATTGACAATAGTGTACGGTTAAATCTTTCCACCGGATTCCCCTGTGGATGATATGGAGAGATTCTTGAATTGGCAATTCCTGTACAGTTCTGCAAGGCTCTGAATAACTGACTTTCAAACTCTATTCCCTGATCGTGATGGATTTTTGACACAAAGCCAGACTTTGGGGAAAAGTCCTCGAAAAGCTTTTTTGGTGCAGTTTTCCCTGACTTATTTCTGGTGGGGTAGGCTTGTGCAAATTTTGTAAAGTTATCTAAAATAACTCAAATGTACTCATGGCCCCCTCTGCTTTTCTCCTAATGCACATAGTCAATTGAAATCCTCTCAAAAGGAGCTGTAGACTGTACATGTTACATTGGGGCCCTAGTCATTACACTGGGTTTCTTTTGCTTGATAGATTTACACACTTTAGTGATAAAGTGTTCAATGTCATGTTGCATGCTGTCACGACTTCCGCCGAAGCTGCCTCCCCTCCTTGTTCAGGCAGGCTTCGGTGTTCGTCGTCACCGGCCTTCTAGCCACTGCCGCTCCATATATCATCATTACATTTGTCTTGTCTTGACTATTACACACACCTGGTTCATATCCCCTCATTAGTCTGTGTATAAGTGTTCCCTCTGCCCCCTTGTCCTTGTGGGTGATTGTTTTATGTGAGTTGAGTGTAGCTCGGTGGAGCTACTCGTACCTTGTATTGCCGGGGTAGATTGTTCCCCTGTGCCTGTATATTGTTGTCGCTATCCAGCGCAACTGTGTACGACGGAATAAACCTTGTATTCAGTGATTTACCCTCCTGCGCCTGACTCCTTCTAATCACACTCATCACACATGCGCGGCCAATAAAAGCGTTCTCGTGCTAAGTTCAACACTTTTTCTGTTCCTAGATGGGCCATTTCAGTGTGTAAGTACTTGTAAATTAGTGTTCTGTACTGACTTGGTACCACAACTTGTGTCCTTTTTGCTTTCCTTTGTAATAATCCCTCTGGTGAGACATGGAGCCTGTTCCACTCTTGCAGTAACTGTTTGACTTCGCATGACTCTTGTTGTCATTCTGTTGGTTTTGGCTTAGCCCTTTGCCTTTTCAGTTCCAAGATTCTCGATACAGCTGCATCCTTTAACTGAGCCTGCATAAGATCGTGTGGAGACAGTCGATCTGTAACTGTTCCCCCCCACCTTGACAGCTCCTTTTGCACTGATGGCCTTAGTGTAACCGCGGATATCCAAGTTAGACAGTTATGCTGTTGTGCCTGAACATTATTGAGTGTTGCTTTTACCATCTCAGGTGAGTGTTTCTCTGTGTATTCTTCCATGTCATGTGCAACATGCAAAGGAGAACATGTAGGCCTCCTGTAGCTCAGTTGGTAGAGCATGGCGCTTGCAACGCCAGGGTTGTGGGTTCGATTCCCACGGGGGGCCAGTATGAAAAATGTATGCACTCACTAACTGTAAGTTGCTCTGGATAAGAGCGTCTGCTAAATGACTAAAATGTAAATGTAAATGTGACAGAAAGTCTGCGTCAGTGTTTACCTTTCTAGGACGGTACTTCAGTGTGAGATTGAAGTCAGACTGCTCCGCCACTCAGCGATGACCGGTGGCATTCAGTCTTGCTGTAGTTAGTAAATATGTCAAGGGGTTATTATCCCTGTACACAGTCACAGAGTGAGCATAAAATAGGTTATCTTGGAACCTCTCAGTCACTGCCCATTTGAGGGCCAAGAATTCCAGTTTCCCAGAGTGAAGGTGATAGTTTCTCTCTGCCTGTGTCAGGGTGCGGGAGCAATATCCAATGACTCTGTTTGCCACTTTGTCGTAGGTGTAACACACCTCCCAATCCCTCTTCGGAGGCATCAACGTGCAAGATAAAAGGGTCCTTGAAATCTGGGTAAGCAAGCACAGGTGGATTAGTCAACACACTCACCAAGTGTTCTAATGCTCTCTGGTGGGCATCCTCCCATATAACTTTCTGGTGGGGCGGCGCCTGTCCCGACTGCATAGCTATCTTGGTCCTTTGCTTCCCGGATGCTGGGGTCTCCGACTTCACTGCTAGTAAGTCATAGAGACATTTTGCATGTTGTGAGAAGTTCTGTACATAACCCCTGTAGTAGCCTAGAAACCCCAGTAGTTTCCTCAGCTCTCTCACGTTTGTTGGTGTCCTGTTTACCAGTTATTGCACTGCTACAATTTATTGAACATCCATTCTGTAACCCTCAGTAGAAATTATTTGACATAAATAACGGACCTCATTCTTGAATAGGTCACACTTATCAGCCCTGAGTTTGATACCACATTTATTTTGCTGCCTGAGTACCTGACGGACATCTTCCACATGTTGTTCAAATGACTGACTAAAAATAAGCACATTATCCAAATATGGTATACAGATTCTATCACTTATACCCTCTAAACTTTCCTCCATGCTTCATTGGAAGGCAGAGGGACTGTTTGATAAGCCAAAGGGAATTCTGTTCCAAATATATAAGGCCCAAGGAGTGCTGAAAGTGATGTATTTTCTGGACTCCTCTCCCACAAAGCCTTGGTGGTATGCATTTCCTTCATCTAAAACTGTAAACCATGAGTTTCCTCCCAAACCATTAAGTATTTCCTGTATACAGGGTATGGAATGCCTGTCCAGAACAGTCTTCTTGTTCAATCCTCTGTAATCAACACAAAGTCTTAAACTCCCATCCTTTTTCCGTACACAGACCAGAGGTGATGCATATGATGAAGTTGACCTCCTGAAGAAGTTTTTGTTCAGGAACCCATGGAGGTGGCTTTTCACCTCAGCATACAAGGGGCATGGCACACCATTGTACCTCTTGCCACTGGTATGTTATCAGTCAAGGTTATCGCCATTTAGAGATTTTCAATGCACCCTATGTCCATGTCATCTTTGGCAAAAATGGCTGATTCCTCTCTGAGTATCTGTTTGAGTAATTATTGTTGTTGTTGGCTCAAGTGCTGTACATCTACAGGTGGGTCCCATCACTCTATGTGACTGGTGTCAGGGCCAGGCTCCGGTGGGGATCTGTCATGAACCTGTGCTACAGTAACCTTTTCTCCACTGGGCACAGGAACCGGGTGACACGCTACCACTTTCTGTAATGTCCCTATCGCTGTTTGTCTTGGTAAGGTAATGTCATGTTTGGTAGTATTTACTACTGCAATGTCAACATTTCGAGATGGGCGTTTTGATGTTTTCACGACCTGACTTTGTAGGTCCAGGCTGCAGATCACTCTCACGTCCGGTTCAAATAACACCATTTGATCATTGAAGGGGGGCCTCTCTTGGGATACAGGGACGAATCCATTTTGTTTGTCCACCTGGAATGACAATGTCATGTCTGCCTGCTGTAAGCAAGCATTCCTCCGTGTGCTCTGTGCTGAAGCAGATTGGGTAGAGTCTTTGCCTTGCCCTGTCCTAGCTTAAGTGCATGTTTTAGCATCTTTACTGTACACATCAGCTCTGAGGGATCATTGTTACTTTTTGTTTTGACTATTTCTTCAATTGCATTAAACCCAATGATTGGTTTCTCCAGTCTTTCATTTGTGACTAATATGGGAACCCTCAATTATTTTCTTGCAATGACATCAGCTTTGGGATCAAGCAAACTAAAACAAATGTCCATCCAACCCAGAAAGGGAATTTCAGTGCCATTGGCTGCCCTCAGATCCAGTTTCTCTGTATTGCCCATGATTTCTGCCAGTGGTCTAATTTGTGTGTGTGGCAAATGCCGTCTTCTCCATTCCTCACTTATGATAGAGACCTAAGCCCCTGTGTCCCATTGTGCTTGCGTCTTTATGCCCTCCATATAACACCACGCTTGACATTTTTTTCCAATGAGCTGTGCTACATGACCATGTCCTGGAGTAGTTGGCCCCCACTCTCTCTGTGTCATGGGACAAGGTGAGTTGTGGTCAGTCTTGCGGGCAGTCTTTCATGTAGGTTGGTGCTGTTTCCAATTATCCTGTTGGCACACTTTGGAACAATAGGCAGCTTTATGACACAATGAACACAACTTAAACTCTGAGGTTCTCTCTCTCTTTGCACTGCAGCCGCTGCAATACTGGATGGAACTAGATGTATCTGAGGTCACTCCCCGTTCCATGGTTGTGACCCCCAGGCGTTTCCCGATGGCTGTGCTTTGCCCCTGATTCTACTTCCTACTGCCCAATGGCTATCACTGCCACATTTGTATCAAATCAAATCAAATCAAATTGTATTGGTCACATGCGCCGAATACAACAGGTGCAGACATTACAGTGAAATGCTTACTTACAGCCCTTAACCAACAGTGCATTTATTTTTTAACAAAAAAAGTAAAAATAAAACAACAACAAAAAAAGTGTTGAGAAAAAAAAGAGCAGAAGTAAAATAAAATAACAGTAGGGAGGCTATATATACAGGGGGGTACCGGTGCAGAGTCAATGTTTCGGGGGCACCGGCTAGTTGAGGTAGTTGAAGTAATATGTACATGTGGGTAGAGTTAGAGTGACTATGCATAAATAATTAACAGAGTAGCAGCAGCGTAAAAGGATGGGGTGGGGGGGCAGTGCAAATAGTCCGGGTAGCCATGATTAGCTGTTCAGGAGTCTTATGGCTTGGGGGTAGAAGCTGTTGAGAAGTCTTTTGGACCTAGACTTGGCACTCCGGTACCGCTTGCCGTGCGGTAGCAGAGAGAACAGTCTATGACTAGGGTGGCTGGAGTCTTTTACAATTTTGAGGGCCTTCCTCTGACACCGCCTGGTATAGAGGTCCTGGATGGCAGGAAGCTTTGCCCCAGTGATGTACTGGGCCGTACGCACTACCCTCTGTAGTGCCTTGCGGTCGGAGGCCAAGCAGTTGCCATACCAGGCGGTGATGCAACCAGTCAGGATGCTCTCGATGGTGCAGCTGTAGAATTTTTTGAGGATCTGAGGACCCATGCCAAATCTTTTCAGTCTCCTGAGGGGGAATAGGCTTTGTCGTGCCCTCTTCACGACTGTCTTGGTGTGTTTGGACCATGATAGTTCGTTGGTGATGTGGACACCAAGGAACTTGAAGCTCTCAACCTGTTCCACTACAGCCCCGTTGATGAGAATGGGGGCGTGCTCAGTCCTCTTTTTTTCCCCCTGTAGTCCACAATCATCTCCTTTGTCTTGGTCACGTTGAGGGAGAGGTTGTTGTCCTGGCACCACACGGCCAGGTCTCTGACCTCCTCCCTATAGGCTGTCTTATCGTTGTCGGTGATCAGGCCCACCACTGTTGTGTCATCGGCAAACGTAATGATGGTGTTGGAGTCGTGCCTGGCCATGCAGTCATGGGTGAACAGAGAGTACAGGAGGGGACTGAGCAAGTCTGTTGACCAGTCTCATTAACAACTTTAGCATTTGGTTTTCTGTTGGAGCGATTCCTAACTGAACTGTCACCATGGCCCTGCATTGACTGTTCTAATGATGCTACCTGACAGGTCAGTTCTTTGTTTGCTTCAGGGGGGATTGTATTTATTTTGTTTTCGGACTGTGGTCTGTGGGGGCTCTTCCTTTGCACATTCCTCTCCGCAATCCCCCAAGGGGGGAATACTTATCCTCACTCTTTACTGCGTTCACTCTTGTGGGTGTGAACTTACGTGAAATCCTGGCCTTTTGCATTCGTTCGCGTTCATTGCCCTGGGCAATTAACATTTTCTCAAGCAACAGTTCATCACTGGTGTTAATATTCTGCCGCTCATCTCTGCCCTGACGTTATCATTTGTTAATCCAGTAACAATGGCCTGCAGGCATTGGCTCTTGACTAACTATTTCAGTCCTGGTTGGGCATGAGCTGAGGCTGATAACACTTTCTGTCTCAGGTCGAAGACTCGGACTAGGAAGTTCAAGGCGGACTCTCCCGGCTCTTGTGTTGCTTTAGTCAACTTGTGATACAGTTCAGTAGCGTCCTTCTCTACATAATGTGTCCTCAAGATTTTCCTTAGTGTATAGTGTCATGTCTGTTTTTCCCTCCAGATAACTCCTCATCTTAAGCCCTGTGCTCACAGCTCTGATTACTGCTTGTATGATTTCACTGTATCCTTTTCTCAGTCCATTTTCAATCTGATGTTCTAGGCTGCTGAAGCTGAGCTTATCTTTCTGCTGGCTTATCTCTTATCTCTCTGGGTTCGCTGTCCACTTGCGTCGTTGGCGCCAACTGGCTGGAACTTGTAGGCAGTTGAAGCAGACATTCCCTCATCCTCTGATTCCATTAAATCCTCATTCTCACAGAGTAATCCTCAATCAGTTTGCACCGCAACGCGCGATGGCTCTATCATTTTACTTCAGAGTCATCTACACCTCCTATTCCACAACGTACACACAGGTGCTGTAAATTGTCCTCAGTTAAAGTCCATAAACAACGTTTCCCTCTCTCGACTCATATTGTCCTACTCACGTGGCAACAACAACAATGCAGGCAATGGCAAGATAGCTAAAATCAGTTCGGTGGTTAGCCCGCTAACGTTAGCTAGCTAGCTACTCTCCCAATGTCTCTCACTCGTTGTCCGTTCAAGGAATATGGGCCGGTACTAACATGAAAATATATCTCAGCAGTGCCTCCAAATTTGTTACCCTTTCTATGAGCTTATAATATAAACTCCAATGCGAACGGTACTGTTTACTTGAATTTTAAACATGTCAGCACGATGTAACAGTAGTTTACAGCATTTTTTGTTAGTTTTTTCTTCCTCTCCCCCAGTCCACTTAAACTTTTCTTCTTTATTTCCAATGGGCTTCACCGGAGTACCCCCTAGTGGCTGGGATACAACAGTATTAAGCCCATTACACTTAGCTCCATGTATCCCCAGCCTTTGCCGATATCAAGCATACCCATACCATGATGCAGCCACCACCATACTTGAAAATAAGGAGGCAGTTACTCAGTGATGTGTTATGTTGGATTTGCACCAAACAGAACACTTTACATTTAGGCAAAAAATTATATTCCTTTGCCGTGTTTTATTTTTGCAGTATTACTTTAGTGCCTTGTAGGATGCTTTGGAATAGTTTTATTCTGTATATTTGTATTATTCTTGAATCTTTTCACTCTGCCATTTAGGTCATTATTAGGTCATTATGCCTTTAAGTTTCAATCACGCTGTAAAGCTGATCTTCCGCGATGCGGATTGAATAGAGCCCTAATTTAGGCTTGCCTAAACAAAGGGTGGAATACTTATGCAACTACTATATACATTTGTACATTTGTACAATTTTCTTTTCACTTTGACATTATGGAGTATTTTGCATAGATCAATGACAAAACATCACAATATATCTATTTAAATCCCACTTTGTAATGCAACAAAACGTGAAGAAATCCAATGGGGTTTTGTTTCCTGACCTACTATTTTCTCTCCCTCTCCCCCTCCTCCCCTCTCCCTCTCTACCCGCTCCCCCTCTCTCCTCTTCCTGTGTGGGGTTCAGGAGGAGCTGGAGTCCCTGGCTCTGAGCAGCATCGTGGAGCTGAAGGCTGTGATGGACAGCTGTGTGTACAACTCCCTGCTGACCGCGACCGTCAAGGACCACAGCAAGAGGACCACCAGTGTCTTCATGTTCCAGTGTGAGGACCTCAGGGTGAGGACACTGTTATGTATCCCTGAACCTGTCTCAAGACGGTATTAGGACCATTATGTTTCTCTCATATTTCAAAATGGCTGTGCATGTGTTTGAAAATGGATGTTAGTGATTTATTTCAGGCTGATTTCATAAAACGGGACCTAGAGAGAGTGTTCCCTCACCAGAGAGATGACGTTAGCAATCACAGCAACAACAGGTAACAACAGCCTACAAAACAGTCCAAAACAACAACAGTGCATTTAAAATGGTGTAGCTTATCTCAGTATGTGCTCATTTTCTCTGGGTAAACCTCTTCTTATCTCTACCAGGGGCAATCTGGAAATTATGGCTGGCCATCAAATTGTTAGGAATCTTCAGAACGCTGGCCCACCCCCTGAGCAGAGAGAATGGACTCCTCCCGAAGATCCTTCAGCTCAATGGTGCGCTCCGGACTATGGTAAGCCAATGGCATACTCCAACCCAAAATAGTTATAGGAAACTATTGAACAAGAGGACTAAGGTTGTGACTCGTGAGGTCAGAACGGCTTGTCTAGATCACTGTAAAAATAAAAAATAACAGAGACGATTAGCTCAAGGGTTTGTTTCCTGTGTTAATGACAGATAAATAGCTTTAGTCAAGGTGATGTCAAATATTTTTTAAACAATAAATACTGTGGGAAATTAGAATAACCAGGCTGAGAAACCAACCTGTTTCACCCCTATATGTTCAATAGATGAAAATCCTACACCTGTACCTACACCTACACAGCCCATGCCCAGAGAAGAGCCCCCTCCTCCCAGGAAGGAAACCCCAGTTCAGCCCCTCTTTATGGAGGACGAGCCTGAGCCAGCCCTTGTCTTTCCTCCACGCCCATACACAGAGACTGATAGGAACGTGGTCAGTGCTCTGCCTCTATCATTATATTATTAATGTTATCAGTACTGTGGATGATAGCTTAAAAGGGCAATCAGCAGTTGAAACAATAACAAAGCATATTTCCCGCCACTGTTCCTGTAAAAAGATGATGGATGGGGCGGGAGAAATGTAACCGCTCTCAAATTCATAGACAGAGCTATGGAGGCAAGAACTGTCCATCCGTGATATCAAAAAAATAGTTTTAAGCATGTTTTGAGGCTATACAGTGTTTGTTTACATTTACTTTGTCTACAAACATTGGAGCAATCAGCTTATATTTTGGGTTCTGATGGGGTGCGGCAGTTTAACTAAGCTCATGAGGCATTTATAAATTATATTCTTCAAGAATCAATGGATATATATCATTAATGTATAAGTCCAGAAATTGATGTAGCAACTGCAGATTGGCACTTTAAGGTGAATTTAGTGGGTTGCATATGAATATTATATAACATGTTCTTTGTTTTTCTACAGGACATTGTGAATCATATTTTCAATGACATTGAGATCTTTATGGGCCAAGTTGCTGCTGCTGCAGCCAAAGCCGAGAAGAAAATAAAGAAAAAGAAGAAGAAGAAGAATAAAGGTGATTTAGAAATGTGTTTCTCCTTATTCCAAAGAAGGCTACACCAGTGGTTCAATTGAGCCAGCGCTACCGTATGGGTAAAAAGTATGATAAACCAAAGTAAGGGTCTCCCAAATTTTGTTACAAAGCGGAGGGCTCCGAATAGCTCCGCATTGACATGATTGGTTGACGTTAGGTGGGGGCGGGAGTTTCTGTATAAACACAAACTCACTTGACAACTTCCTACACAACAGCTTTGCTCAACTGCTCTGCTCTGCGAAGCACAATAAGTATGAATGCACTGACTTCTGCAGAGGCCGTACTGCCGTAAATGCTGTATGGCCAATGCAGACTCCGGATTGACCATGCAGAGCCTTTAAATTGGAATAACCTTAAAATTAATATTGTCTCTCCCACCTGAACCCCTGGGGATATCCCATATGCAGGTGCAAGATGGCAGTGGGCAAACTGTGATCTGAGGTTTTAGTATTTTGATGCCATTTGTTTCTTTGTTTAATTTCCAAGGCATTAAAGGCATGCCACCAGCAGAGGAATTTGAAACCTGTCTCCAGAAAATCAAATGTGGGTTCAATCTTCTGGTGTGTATTAAAATATCTCAGCTATTTTGCTTGCTGTACACTCATGATGTAATACATGCTATTCATTTAATCTGAGCGCTTAATCAAGTACCTTTGGTCTGTTCACTGTGACAGGGGGAGCTCAATGGAAAGATTAGTAATCCCAGTGCTCCGGAATTCATCCACTGCCTCTTCTCCACCCTGGCATTTGTAAGTTACTCCTACTGCTTACTCCATCTTTGTTTTCTACTCAGCTCTTGACCCACCCTTGAACCTTTTTCAACGTAGTGTTTTGAACCAGCTTAAACGAATTGACAGTGCATGATAAAGTTCAGAAGGCTTGTTTCCCACCCCTAGCGGCAAGTGCTGTTGTAGAATCAACTGCTAAAACAGTTAAAACTCACGTTACCTTACCCCCTGCCTCCTCCAGGTGGTGTCCCACTGCTCTGAGGAGCTGCCCCCCACCATCGTGGCACCCCTGCTGGAGCCTGAGTGTATCCGTCTGCTGAGTGAGGAGGCCACTCCTGAGGAGGACCAGCTGTGGCAGTCACTGGGAGACGCCTGGAACATCCCCAGGTGGGACACATGCATCACACCACTCATCAATGGGTATCTGGGAATGGGGAGTTACTGTCAGTCAGTGGTGCTCTGTGTACTTCCATACGTTTTGACAATGACTTCCTGTATCCCTGATGTCTTATCAGTACAAAATGGCCCGAGGATGATGAGGACATCCCTACCTACACTCTGGAGTTCTATGATGGTTGGAAGCCCCTGGAGGTGACCCACTCTCTCCCAGGGAGAGAGCCTGAGAGAAGGCAGCAGAGTCAGAATCAGAGTCCGCGCTCCACCCCTGAAAAGGTAAATGCCCAGTGAGCTGCATCTTATAGTTCTGTACCGGCTGGGTAATTTCTGTAAGGTTTCTTTCAATAAGTTCTTTCAAACTTTTCCCATGTAGAGGTCGGACCCATTGAAGCCTCCACCATCACGGTATGCATTATTAAAGTATTATAAACGATTTAAAAGCCATGAAATGATTATGTATACAGGTTGTTCTGTGTGCGTCTATAGATCTATGTATGTGTTTTCAGTCCAGATGAGCCAAACCCCAGTTACATGCGTGTGATGTATGACTTCACTGCAAGGAACAACAGAGAGCTGAGCATCTCCAAGGGAGAGGTGGTTCAGGTGAGCCTACTCACCACTACTGCATGTTAACAGCACTTTGAAGTCTGTCTGCCCGCTCGCCCAACAGGAGGTTTGACAGAAGAGTGTGTGCTCTGTGCATCCACAGCTACTGGACATGTCAAAGAAATGGTGGCGAGTAAGGAGCGACAGAGGGGAGGAGGGCTTTGTACCCAACAATTCACTGGAGTCACAGGACAAGGAGCAGGAAAAGCAGGTAAGATACCCCAACACTCAGCAACACTTCATACTGGAAAGCCTGCTGTGTGTTATTATGTTGTGTATGCTCCATGTGTATGGTGTTTACTGTATAAGTATGTAATTATAGAGACCTTATCCCCCCTGTCAGGAAACCAGTGGTCCTCCCTCCCTAACCAAGAGGTCCAAGCCTGACCAAGTGAAGGCCTGGCTGGAGTACAAGGGCTTCAGTAAAATGTAAGAGCACTCAAACTCCCAATCACATTAGCTATAGCTTAGTGATCACTGTAGGCATACATGTCATTTACAACTACTGTAGTCAATCACAAGTGAGTATGAGAAATGACAGGATAAGTATTCTATCTCTTTTCCCAGATATTTTTAAATGTCTCCCTCACTTTCTCTCCTTCCCTCCCTCTGTCTGTCAGCACGGTGCGCTGTCTGGGTGTGCTGAGTGGCTCTATGCTCCTGGGGATGACGAGAGAGGAGCTGAAGATAGTGTGTCCTGAGGAGGGGGGGCGGGTCTTCTTTCAGCTCCAGAACATCAAGTCTGCCATGGCTGTAAGTCACACACCACTCTTTCTTTAGCTGTACAACTGTTGATTTATATTCTTGTACATGACAGGTAACAAGCTGATTTCTAAATCCCAGTCCTATTCCTAACCTTAGTTTTTTCTTTCCACTCCAGCTTGCCAGTGAGGTAACGCCCATAGAGCCTTAGGAGGGGAGGACCAGAGAGTCACAAATGAGTCGGGACTTTAAGTTTCATCCCGTTCCGCTGTGCAATAGAAAAAATACTAATTATAACTACTGAAAACACTGAGTAAGCTGAGTTTAGTTAGAAGTATGTAGGGTGGAAGTATCAAAGCTCTATACTTTTTAGTTCCATTTAGTAATCCAATATTTAAAGAAAGAGGCTCTCTATATATTTATATATATATATATTATTTGTCAACCGTTAACTTTAATAATATATTTTACCATATGTATTCTATAAAACCAGTGTTGATGCCACTTGATTCTATGATTGATCTTGAGGAGTTCATTAAAAGTCACCATTTGTAGAAATTAATGTTTTTAAGTGTTACAATACTTTTTCTGTATAGTATCTTGTTGTTGATGTATCTGACATGTAATCAATTGATACATATTTTATTTTGGTAGGGCTATGTATGGACACTTCAATGAGTAAATCACATTATATAAAATCAAGTCTGTGTCTCTATAATCTAAGCATGTATCTCAATGTTGGAACTGTCTATCCACATAATCACCTATATTAGTTGACTAAATTAGTCAATTAGCTGACTCCTTCAAGAAAATAACTAATGACACCAGACAACACATTAGATGAATAAACATGCTTTATTTCAATCTTCAGACATCATACCATAGAGTCTGTAAAACATTGGCATTCATTTAAAGCCATGGTAGTGACTACAGTACAATAAGGGCTCTATTCAATCTGCGTTGCAGAAGTTCAGCTTTACAGCGTGATTGAAATTTAAAGGCAATGTTCCCGCGTCAGCAAAGACTGCATTCACAGTAAACACTGCATATGTCGGCTCAATCGGAAATTACCTTTACATTTCTGTCGCGCAATCTGTAACGCTTTAGAGATACAGATTGAATAGAGCCCTAAATCCAACAAATTAAAAAGACAATGAAAACCATGTCAATAATAGAAAAAACGTGCAGGGCACCTTTCATGTAAAAACATTACAATGTCTAAAAAGGAAACATGAATTGAGCACAAAATAATCACAAGTAAAAATCTAACTGTTTGAATTCAACATTATGAAGTGAAAAGAATACTAGGCAATTCTTCAATGAGAAAATTGATTGAACAAAGAACTAAACTCGCAGTGTGATGATTGACTGATTAACTGGTTTGTGTTCTGTGATGACAACACAGTGTCTATTACTATTACCCAAGACTCTTTGCACTACTGAAACCCGGTGAAAGAGAACAGCATTTTGGACTCAAAATGGCGTTGAACTTTGTGTGCTCTTTTGATTGGGACAGAATTACATATGTCTGTCTTTAGTGAAGTTTGAGAATACAACGTATGGTCTCTGAGTTATGGTATGCTACAGTAGAACCAATAGGTTCCCTAGCATTGTATTTTATAAACAAACAAAGGAACTAACCTGATTGAACAGATTGAGACCAGCAACAGGAGTTGGTGAGGTTTTGAAAGAACAGATCTGTGAACTCTGATGGACAATCTTTAATGGATGGATGGAAATGGAAAGGTAAGGTCAACTGAACTGGAAACAGTGTCGTTGGGTCCCTCAGTGAGCCACACCTGGTCCTGAAAATGGATGTCTGATCCTTTATAAACAAATACACACATCCTACTCCACATATGGAGACACAAACCCTTAAATTAAACATGTATCCTCTAATTTCCTGCAAAATACGATTTTAAAGAATCAAATCAAAAGCTGTAGTAAATGGTTGTTGCTGTTTTAAAAGCCTTGTTTGTATCAATCAAAGAGAAACAGTGGTCCAGTCTATGTTTGTGGGAAGGATTACAGTGTTTGAGTGGGTGTTTTGGTGTGAATGTATAGCCAGATTACATAGGCAGCTCTGGCTGAGTTAAATGTCAGGGATGGATAACCAATATGGCTCTTGGTACTACCATTTCTGAAGACCCCTCCAAATAACCCTGGTTAACTTGATCACCTTCACTCGATACTCTATTGAGAGAGAGCTACATGGAAAATGTAACCGAGTTCAACAGTCCTAACACAACAATCAACCAGAAAAACAAACAATGTAAATACAAAATAAGAAAATAATATACATGGTTCTTTGTAGCTCAGTTGGGAGAGCATGGCGCTTGTAACGCCAGGGTAGTGGCTCTGATTCCCGGGACCACCCATATGTAAAATGTAAGCACACATGTCCGACCGTAAGTTGCTTTAGATAAAAGTCAAATTGTACAATTTTGTGAAAGTCAAGGCCAATATTTGTAATAATTATGATAAAATAAATATTTCTGTTTTAATAACGACAGTTTATAATGATCTACAGCAACGAAACAAAGTTTGTAATCTAAATATTGATATACTGTTTATCTCTATACAGCCTTTAAGAAAATACACTTTATATATTAAATTCAACTCAGAGGCTCGCCCTATGTTCCGCACATGCCACCCCTTCACAGTGAAACACCTCACTGCTGAGGAGCTACAGAACAGCCTCCCAGGATTGAGATTAATGCATACAATTTGTCCTAAATTATCTGGTTTCTCAAAACATTTAGGGTCTATTCAATCCGATCCGCTTTAGCCGACATCCGCATAGATGTTGTTTTGGCGGTGTAGGAGGTGGAACTACGTTAGAGCTGTCAAATCCACAAGCGGCTCTTGGCATTATAGCTAAAGCGGACATTGCCATTGGCTGCACGGAGTCGCATTAAGAGAAATCCCATGCAGCCTTGTTTACAAGTTCGAACACTGGAATGTGAGATGTAATCTACACCTCGATTAGGCTGATAGATTATTATTATTATTTCATTCAATGATTTTCTATTTGTGCGTCATTATTTCTATATAGCCTACACTTTCTCGTTCTGAACTTCTAACACGAGTGGGAGGGTGTGGCTTCGTGACAATGATAGAGAGCAGCTGCTCACCGATTTGACAGCACCAACGCAGTTCCACCTCCGACACCGCCAAAACATCAGCCATGCGGGTGTCGGCTATCGCCGGTTAACACTTGATCTGATTCAATCTAGGCCTTACTGTATATATCAGGCTTCGATCTTAAGTTTTTTTAAATGGCCTGGTAGATATGGTATGCAATGCATGGTGAACATTTACAACAAGGGCCCACTTATTCCAATGGATCAGTCTTGGCATCTAATAGGACTGTACAATTAGAACAGTTATAACAATATCCAAGATGAATGCCCACAGTTTGAATCGGGCATAGAAGAGGCTCTTTGACTTTGGGCAAGATAATGGGGATGAGTGTACTTGTTTTGGTGACCACGACAACCATGGTGGTGGGGGTGAGCTCGTTTGATCCTGATGACAACCATGCAAATGTGTCCCTGCACGGTTTGAGCATTGCATTAGGGATGACAAGCTGAATGAGTTTGTTTTGCAGAACTCAAACTAACAACAATCATTGACTGCACACATACTTCATACATGACAGTCGTTCAGCTTACTTAGATTCTCATGTGTTGCTTTTTCACATTACATCTCACTTTAAACAGCTTCTCAGCCACTCCTGTTGCCACACAGGGCTCCATGCAGGCATGCACAACATAAGATACACGGTGGAAATGCAGTCAAAGCAGAGCATTGGTAAAACGGCTTCTTCCACTTCACTGGAAGGCCTGGGTAGGTAAAGGAGAAGGTACTTTAACATGCAGCATGGTTTCAGTCCCGATGGCATCATCTTGATGTTAGTTCAGCAAAAATGCTAAAGCATGAAGAGAACAGATGCTGCAGTTGTTGTTGGTGATGAGGACTGAGGCGTTGTAGAAGAGCATGAGAACAGCTAGCTAGTGCCCAAAGTTCAAATCAAAAGGCCCTTGTAAGTCAGGTTTGGAGCATACAGGGCACCGCATGCAATGAATTAATAACCAACATAGTGGGTCCAGAGGCCAGTCCCTGTGGTCTGTCCTGGTCTCTTTAGAGGACCAAGGGGGGGGGGGGGGGGGCGGGACATACACACACAATGGGGTTTGGAGGGTCCATAAACAAGAACATGGTGACTGTTGAGGTAATGGTAGGGGGGCGTGGGAGCCCTCCTGGCTTGGACGATGCTGTATTCATCCTTCTGGACTTGTGCTTGGAAAACAAGTTGTGGTTGATTGGCTCCATCATGCACACCTCTCAGCATCCACTCTACCACAAACTGAGATATACACCCTGTACACATCATGCATCTATACTGGAATAGTATAAATCTACTGTTTTTGGCTGCATATTCTATAACTAATGTGATTTGTTATATGCACAGGCGACAGGCCAGTAATGTTTTTTTCTGCAGCTAAAAATAACATGTATCTTAATGTTAATTTAATGGAATGTTTGCAGTAGCCCACGGTCAGGTGCACAGCTCCATGTCCTGAGGGCTGCTGCAATGTCTCTGCTGGATGTCCTGCCTGCTATTTAGTTCAAAGCTGATTTAGATCAGGGAGACCAGCCGAGATGACTCCTTTAGCTAATAAATCACTAGAAATTGCCTGAAGCACAGCGACAGATGAAGCCAGCAGATACCCAGCAGCACACAGACTGGAATTGTGCACGACTTCTGCTTCTAGACCACGCAGATTTGGTCCTTTGTCTGTTTTTTAAACTCAGTACGTCCGTACATTAGACATTTGTTACCATGGTTTCCATGCATCTCGAAGTTACATGCGACTGTTCCTATCCGTGCGGAACGGGTGTTGTTGGAACAATGTAGTGTGGAAAACCCACCTATGCGTTGTTTAAGTGTGTCCATGTAGTGTAGGTAAGACGACCCATGGATAATACACTCATAATATTGCTGTTAAGTTGTATCTGCTTTCCTACTTCATAAGTTATAACCATTATGAAAATATTACACTAGATGTTAAGCTTAAGGCAGCATGACTGTGTGATGGAAGATAAGCAGCTTTCAGGACGGGAAAACTGTGCAATAAGTGTGTGTGTGTGTGTGCGTTATATCGGTGATGGGTACAAACATGCCATCAAATCACAGGTTTAACTATGGGACCTTCCTTCCCATGCAGGGTCACATGACAAAGCAAAGGAAATAATTTGGGGTTTGACGGTATGGAGGGTCAGGGGATAAAAATGACAGAGGAAGTGACCCAGGAACAGATTGAAGAAAAGAAAATGTGAAACAAAAGACTTCAGGCTACTGTCTCTCTCCTCCAATATGAAATAAAACCTATCACAGTGAGCAATAGAGAGGAGTTGTTGATTTAGCGTCCTTCTGCCCCGACGGGGGCCATGGAGAGGGTGTCCTCCTCGTCGATGTTGTCCAGCTCCTTGGTGCGCACAGCGTGGGTGATGAGGTTGAGCTCCTCCAGCAGGGTCTCACTGCGGTACGCCACGCGGATGTCCGGGACGTTGGTACGACGGATGTCGTTGCTCTCCGGGCCCTCCTTGCTGTATTTGGGCCCCAGCCAGTAGCTCTTTGCCTGGAGACAAGAAAGAATGTCAGAGCAGAGCACTTGGCACAAAATGGCTGCCATGCACCACTACATTTAATTTAATCCATTGCTATTCCATTATAAGAGACAAATGAAAGGGAAGGTCAGAGACCAGAGGGCAAAAATATGGATGAGAGGAGAGGAAGCGGATACCTTGTGGGAAAAGCCGCTCATAAGGACGCTGTTCCTGGCCAGCTCACACATGTCACAGGAGCTCAGCTTCCACACCTGTGTGGCAATGCTGTACTCCTCCATCAGGGGCTCCTGAGGCCAAACACACACAAAAGACAAAGAAACATTACATTAATTGTACTAATTGACTGTACTGACTCACCATTGCAGCCCCCATAGTTACATAGTTGTAGTGTGTGTGGTTTTGCCTCTGTGTGAGTCTGTCTTGACAGCGCTCCCCTGTACACTGACCTTGGTGAAGTGGAACTGTAGGGGGTCGTCAGTGGACAGAGAGATCATGAGGCCTCTGGACAGATACTCAGGCAGGGGGTTGCGGTGGTAGCTGAGGAACAGGCTGTTGTTGCTCAGGGGGGACATGGCAATGCCAATCTGAGCCAGGTAGTACAGGTACTGCAGCACTGGTGCCTGGGGACAAGAGGAGGAAAGAGACGCCATATGATACAATATAGTCTATCTTGTTGAATGCACAATTGCAGTAATTCAAGGGAACAGTGTCTGATTGTTCTCCTGAATTCTCTTACATTTGCAACTGAAGTAACCTGGTGAGCAAAGTCCCAAAACATAATTTAATAAATAAATAAATCAAACCTTCAGAGGTCACCTATGAACTGAACTGTACTATCTGTCAGTAGTGTTGTTGCCATGGTAGTGTGGCATCGCTATGGGAGATGTGGGTGCTGACTGACCTTCCTGAGCAGCAGCCCGTGGGAGATGTTCTCTGAAAGCATAAAACCTGACACCAGGTGGTGGACAGGCCCCGCCTCCCCGCAGTGAGGGCGCAGCACAAACGTGTGGAAGCCACGCCTCCTGCATGGCACAAGCAAACACATATTTGCTTCATAAAGCATTTTCATAAACAATCCTTAAGGTTTTCATGCGATTCATTCATCATTTACACTACCGTTCAAAAGTTTGGGGTCACTTAGAAATGTCCTTGTTTTCGAAAGAAAAGCAATTTTTTTGTCCATTAAAATAGCATCAAATTTATCAGAAATACAGTGTAGACGTTGTTCATGTTGTAAATGGCTATTGCGGCTGATTTTTTATGGAATATCTACATAGGCGTACAGAGGCCCATTATCAGCAACCATCAGTCCTGTGTTCCAATGGCACGTTGTGTTTGCTAATCCAAGTTTATCATTTTAAAAGGCTAATTGATCATTAGAAAACCCTTTTGCAATTATGTTAGCACAGCTGAAAACTGTTGTGCTGATAAAAGAAGCAATAAAACTGGCCTTCTTGAGACTAGTTGAGTATCTGGAGCATCAGCAATTGTGGGTTCGATTACAGGCTCAAAATGGCCAGAAACAAAGAACTTTCTTCTGAAACTCGTCTATTCTTGTTCTGAGAAATGAAGGCTATTTATTCCATGCGAGAAATTGCCAAGAAACTGAAGATCTCGTACAATGCTGTGTACTACTCCCTTCACAGAACAGCGCAAACTGGCTCTAACCAGAATAGAAAAGGAGTGGGAGGCCCCGGTGCACAACTGAGCAAGAGGACAAATACATTAGAGTGTCTAGTTAGAGAAACAGATGCCTCACAGGTCCTCAACTGGCAGCTTCATTAAATAGTACCCGCAAAACACCAGTCTCAACGTCAACAGTGAAGAGGCGACTCCGGGATGCTGACCTTCTAGGCAGAGTTGCAAAGAAAAAGCCATATCTCAGACTGGCCAATAAAAAGAAAAGATTAAGATGGGCAAAAGAACACAGACACTGGACAGAGGAAGATTGGAAAAAAGTGTTATGGACAGACGAATCGAAGTTTGAGGTGTTCAGATCACAAAGAATAACATTTGTGAGACGCAGACCAAATGAAAGAGGCTGGAGGAGTGCTTGATGCCATCTGTCAAGCATGGTGGAGGCAATGTGATGGTTTGGGGGTGCTTTGGTGGTGGTAAAGTGGGAGATTTGTACAGGGTAAAAGGGATCTTGAAGAAGGAAGGCTATCACTCCATTTTGCAACGCCATGCCATACCCTGTGGACGGCGCTTGATTGGAGCCAATTTCCTCCTACAACAGGACAATGACCCAAAGCACAGCTCCAAACTATGCAATAACTATTTAGGGAAGAAGCAGTCAGCTGGTATTCCGTCTATAATGGAGTGGCCAGCACAGTCACCGGATCTCAACCCTATTGAGCTGTTGTGGGAGCAGCTTGACCGTATGGTACGTAAGAAGTGCCCATCAAGCCAATCCAACTTGTGGGAGGTGCTTCAGGAAGCATGGGGTGAAATCTCTTCAGATTACCTCAACAAATTGACAACTAGAATGCCAAAGGTCTGCAAGGCTGTGATTGCTGCAAATGGAGGATTCTTTGATGAAAGCAAAGTTTGAAGGACACAATTGTTATTTCTATTAAAAATCATTATTTCTAACCTTGTCAATGACTACATTTCCTATTCATTTTGCTATATTTCAAACTAATTTCATGTATGTTTTCATGAAAAAAAAAAAAATTCTAAGTGACCCCAAACTTTTGAACGGTAGTGTATAAAGGTCCAATGCAGCTGTTGTTATCTCAATATCAAATCATTTCTGGGTAACAATTAAGTACTTTACTGTGATTATTTCCGTGGTAAAAAAGAAACCAAAATAGCTTCTTTGCAAAGAGCAATTTCTCAAGCAAGAATTTTGCTAGGGCTGTCTGGGAGTGGGAAGTGGAAAACTGAAAACTAGCCGTTATTGGCAGAGAGGTTTGGAACTCTCTTTCTTATTGGTCTATTAATTAATTTACCAGGCAGGCCAAAACTCCCTCCCACCAAAACATGCTGAAATGTCAGGCAGTCTTTTCAAACAGCTCTTACACTAAAAGGGCATTATCATAATTTCCATAATATTACAATATTATTCCAACCTCATAGCGTGGAAATATACTGAACAAAAATATAAAACACAACATGCAACAATTTCAATGATTTTACTGAGTTACAGTTCAAATAATGAAATCAGTCAATTGAAATAAATTAATTAGGCCCTAATCAATGGATTTCACATGACTGGGCAGCGGCGCATCCATGGGTGGGCACCCACTGGGGAGCCATGCCCACCCACTAGGCAGCCAGGCCCAGCCAATCAGAGTGAGTTTTTCCCCACAAGAAGGCTTTATTACAGACAGAAATACTCCTCAGTTTCATCAGCTTTCCGGGTGGCTGGTCTCAGACGATCCCGCAGGTTAAGAAGCCGGATGTGGAGGTCCTGGGCTGGCGTGGTTACACGTACTATGAGGTTGTGAGGCCGGTTTGGCGTACTGCCAAATTATCTAAAACAACATTGGTCCCTAAAAGGTGTGTTTTGGGTCATCGTCCTGTTGAAAAACAAATGATATTCCCACTAAGCCCAAACCAGATGGGATGGCGTATCGCTGCAGAATGCTGTGGTAGCCATGCTGGTTAAGTGTGCCTTGAATTCTAAATAAATCACCAACAGTGTCACCAGCAAAGCACCCCCACACCATCACACCTCCTCCTCCATGCTTCATGGTGGGAACCACACATGCGGAGATCATCCGTTCACCTACTCTGCATCTCACAAAGACACGGCGGTTGGAACCAAAAATCTCAAATTAGGACTCATCAGACCAAAGGACAGATTTCCACTGGTCTAATGTCCATTGCTCGTGTTTCTTGGACCAAGCAAGTCTCTTCTTATTATTGGTGTCCTTTAGTAGTGGTTTCTTTGCAGCAATTTGACCATTAAGACCTGATTAACGCAGTCTCCTCTGAAAAGTTTAGATGTGTCTGTTACTTGAACTCTGTGACGCGTTTATTTGGGCTGCAATTTGAGGTGCAGTTAATTGCTGATTTCTGAGGCTGGTAACTCTAATGAACCAGCTCCGTGGCTTGATGACTCATTGCGAGCTCACAGAACAGAGCTCCGGGCAGCTGAGCGGAAATGGAAGAAAACTAGACTCCCTGCGGACCTGGCATCTTTTCACTCCCTCCTCTCTACATTTTCTTCATCTGTTTCTGCTGCTAAGGCCACTTTCTACCACTCTAAATTCCAAGCATCTGCCTCTAACCCTAGGAAGCTCTTTGCTTCCCCTCCCTCTCTCTCTGTGGATGACTTCGTCAACCACTTTGAAAAGAAGGTTGACGACATCCGATCCTCGTTTGTTAAGTCAAATGACACTGCTGGTCCTGCTCACACTGCCCTACCCTATGCTTTGACTTCTTTCTCCCCTCTCTCTCCAGATAAAATCTTGCGACTTGTGACTGCAGGCCGCCCAACAACCTGCCCGCTTGACCCTATCCCCTCCTCTCTTCTCCAGACCATCTCCGGTGACCTTCTCCCCTACCTCACCTCGCTGATCAACTCATCCTTGACCGCTGGCTATGTCCCTTCCGTCTTCAAGAGAGCGGGAGTTGCACCCCTTCTCAAAAAACCAACACTCGATCCCTCTGATGTCAACAACTACAGACCAGTATCCCTTCTTTCTTTTCTTTCCAAAACGATTGAGCGTGCCGTCTTTAGCCAACTCTCTTGCTATCTCTCTCAGAATGACCTTCTTGATCCAAACCAGTCAGGTTTCAGGACTGGTCATTCAACTGAGACTGCTCTTCTCTGTGTCACGGAGGCTCTCCGCACTGCTAAAGCTAACTCTCTCTCCTCTGCTCTTGTCCTTCTAGACCTGTCTGCTGCCTTTGATACTGTGAACCATCAGATCCTCCTCTCCACCCTCTCCGAGCTGGCTCACTCTTGGATTGCGTCCTACCTGACCGGTCGCTCCTACCAAGTGGCGTGGCGAGAAGCTGTCTCCGCACCACGTGCTCTCACCACTGGTGTCCCCCAGGGCTCAGTTCTAGGCCCTCTCCTATTCTCGCTATACACCAAGTCACTTGGCTCTGTCATATCCTCACATGGCCTCTCCTATCATTGCTACGCTGACGATACACAACTAATCTTCTCCTTTCCCCCTTCTGATAACCAGGTGGCGAATCGCATCTCTGCATGTCTGGCAGACATATCAGTATGGATGACGGATCACCACCTCAAGCTGAACCTTGGCAAGACGGAGCTGCTCTTCCTCCCGGGGAAGGACTGCCCGTTCCATGATCTCGCCATCACGGTTGACAACTCCGTTGTGTCCTCCTCCCAGAGTGCGAAGAGCCTTGGCGTGACCCTGGACAACACCCTGTCGTTCTCCGCTAACATCAAGGCGGTGACCCGATCCTGTAGGTTCATGCTCTACAACATTCGGAGAGTACGACCCTGCCTTACACAGGAAGCGGCACAGGTCCTAATCCAGGCACTTGTCATCTCCCGTCTGGATTACTGCAACTCGCTGTTGGCTGGGCTCCCTGCCTGTGCCATTAAACCCCTACAACTCATCCAGAATGCCGCAGCCCGTCTGGTGTTCAACCTTCCCAAGTTCTCTCACGTCACCCCGCTCCTCCGCACACTCCACTGTCTTCCAGTTGAAGCTCGCATCTGTTACAAGACCATGGTGCTTGCCTATGGAGCTGTGAGGGGAACGGCACCTCCGTACCTTCTGGCTCTGATCAGTCCCTACACCCAAACGAGGGCATTGCGTTCATCCACCTCTGGCCTGCTGGCTCCCCTTCCTCTGCGGAAGCATAGTTCCCGCTCAGCCCAGTCAAAACTGTTCGCTGCTCTGGCACCCCAATGGTGGAACAAGCTCCCTCACGACGCCAGGACAGCGGAGTCACTCACCACCTTCCGGAGACATTTGAAACCCCACCTCTTTAAGGAATACCTGGGATAGGATAAAGTAATCCTTCTACCCCCCCCCCCCCCCCCCCCCAAAAAAATAAAAAAAATAAACAAAATTAAATAAAAAAATAACAATTTGTAAAGTGGTTATCCCACTGGCTATAAGGTGAATGCACCAATTTGTAAGTCGCTCTGGATAAGAGCGTCTGCTAAATGACGTAAATGTAATGTAAATGAACTTATTCTCTAGAGCAGAGGTAACTCTGGGTCTTCCTTTCCTGTGGCGGTCCTCATGAGAGCCAGCTTCATCATAGCGCTTGATGGTTTTTGTGACTGCACTTGAGGAAACTTTAAAAGTTCTTGAAATGTGCGTATTGACTGACCTTCATGTCTTAAAGTAATGATGGACTGTCGTTTCTCTTTGCTTATTTGAGCTGTTCTTGCCATAATATGGACTTGGTCTTTTACCAAATAGGGCTATCTGCTGTATAACAACCCTACCTTGTCACAACACAACTGATTGTCTCAAACGCATTAAGAAGGAAAGAAATTCCACAAATTACCTTTTAACAAGGCACACCCGCTAATTGAATGCATTCCAGGTGACTACCTGGTTGAGAGAATGCCAAGAGTGTGCAAAGCTGTCATCAAGGCAAAGGGTGGCTACTTTGAAGAATCTCAAATATAAAATATATTTGTTTAACACTTTTTTGGTTACTGCATGATTCCATATGTGTTATTTCACGGTTTTGATGTCTTCACTATTATTCCACAATGTAGAAAATAGTATAAAAATAAAGAAAACTTTTGACTGGTACTGTATATAGAAAACACATGAAAATCAATTTTTTGACAGCACTGGGCCTTTATCTATTTTCTATTGTTGTCTGTGTGCTGAGGTTTGTTAAGCAGCCTGGTACCTGCGCAGGTGGTTGAGCACGGTCATGTTGGCGTAGGTGTAGTAGAGGTAGTAGGAGTAGGGAGGGTTGTCCTCCTCTGTCCAGACGGCTGGCAGGGGGCTGTCCATGTTGAAGATGTGGTGCTCCGGCTTGGACTCATCATCCACACTGTCAAAGCCCACCACCTGACAACACAGTGATACAACAATAAGTTACTGTAAAACAGTGCCTGGAGTGTATGAATGAGGTAGGGCCCTAAGTTATTTCATACCGGAAAAAAATGCATCTGAACTGTCTGGATATGTTAGGTGTAGGGAAAGGGAGAATCCTACTGTGTGGACTGTTGGGCTAGTGCCTAGTGCTGTGTGAGTGACTCACATGCTGCAGGAAGAGGTGCAGCTCAGGGTGGCTGCGGGGGTTGATGGTGACCTCAAACAGAGGCATGAAGATGTTCTCCATCATCTCCTGGAAGTTTGCCAGCTGCTTCTTGGTGCGGTACACATCACTGCAGTCAGAGGAGGGTTAATAATATGGAAGATGACTATAATTCACATTCATTCATAGTATTCATTCAAAGATTCATAACCTTCATTCATAATACTTGCCACAAATACAAGGAGAGGTTTACATCCAATACAAGCTGATAAAAGGTAGACATGTATAACTGCTTTGTTGATGCTGTAGTAGGTAGAGGTACTACTCACAAAAGGCGGGGCACTTGGATGAGCCAGCGCACATTGTCAGAGTAGACTTGGTGTTTGACGGCCCACTGGGCCAGCTTGTCCCACTCGTCCCGGGAGCGGCCGTAGATGGACAGACGCAGCTCCACGTTCTGGTACTTACTCTCCTCTAGGTCAGCCATCACCTCCTGTTGGCACATCAACAACATCAATGTATTAGAGACATCAATATCATTGTATTCATGTCTGTAAATTAAGACTTCAAGGCCACATTTTCTCTTAATATGAATGTGCATAACTATGTGGGGTGAACTAACACATAAACACCACTGACTGTATGGCTGTTTAATGTAGCATGGGCTGGTTTCAGACCTTGATCATGTGGCCAAAGTATTTGCCCTCGATGTGGTTGTCTGTCTTGATAAAGATCTCTCTCAGGATGGACTCTCCGATGGGGTTGTATTTGGCGTTGAACTTGTCAAAGCGATGGAACGTGTTGCGGTCCTGAGAACAGACAGGTGACACTTACTGTACCACTCTTCTTCTCCCAATTCTCCTACCCCTCCCTCTCTAACAATTCTCCTACCCCTCCCTCTCTAACAATTCTCCTACCCCTCCCTCTCTAACAATTCTCCTACCCCTCCCTCTCTAACAATTATCTTTTGCCCTTCCCTCTCCCCCTCTCCTCACCGCGTGCATGTCCAGTGTGTCCACACTCAGGTCGAAGGCGGTCAGGTTCATGCTCTCAAACACCTCCATGAGGGTCTGTCCCCGGCCGTGCTCCATGTGGACTATCTCCCCAGGGTACTTCTTCATGGCCCGCTTGATAAAACGCAGCAGGTGCTTCTGGTTCATACAAGACGAGGCATGGATGTGTGTGTCCACCTGGGGGCAGAGGGAGGGGGAGAGACAGGGACAGGGTCAACAACAGTGAAATACTGAGGATGGATGCCAGAGTGTGTCACTTTAATAATGTTTACATATCTTGCATTACTCATCTCATATGTATATACTGTATTCTATACTATTCTACTGTATCTTAGTCCTACTGCTCTATCATTACTCGTCCATATCTGTATATATTCTTAATTCCATTCCTTACTTAGATTTGTGTGTATTGGGTGTATGTTGTGAAATTGTTAGATATTACTTGTTAGATATTACTGCAGTGTCGGAGCTAGAAGCACAAGCATTTCGCTACACCCGCAATAACATCTGCTAAACACGTGTATGTTACAAATAAAATTGGATTTGATTTGATTTGAAAGACAAAAAAAGTATGAGTTAGTTAGCACTTAGCAGTGGTGTATCTTCATTGGTCACATGACGGGGTAGAAACTACACCAATATAATAGTGGGAGACTAACTGATATTGAACACTTTGCAGGTATTATAGAGATGTTGTAGATCAATAAGCTGTTGGATGCTGTGCCCCAGTGTTGTGAACGGTTGTTGTGTCAGTGTTGTTGTTGTTGTGTGTCACCTTGCGGATGTTGTAGAAGTCGCGGTGAGGAACCTTCTTCTGGGCTGCCAGCTCCTTCATCTCATTTAGCAGGATGTGCATCTGGAACTTAGAGCTCAGGTATTGCAGCCGGCGGTAGCAGAATGACTTTCTGTACACACACACACACACACACACGCATTCACACGCACACAAACACACTGAGTACTAATGAGACAACAGATGTGACTGATGTTGATGGTAAGGCTCCTGGTTGAAGAGCCAGTAACACTCACACTGGTCCGTTAATGATGAGAGCCATCATGATGTTCATGTCAGCGATGTACTCCTTCAGGTCTGGGTAAGGCAGGTCCAACTCTGTACTCCTGGAAATGAGGATGGAGCTTTTCCGTTACACACTCTCTCTTACACACACGTAGAAGCAGACTAGCCCATCACACAACACACACTTCCCTCCAAAAGCTGAAAACAAGCAGACTCAAACACAAACCCACTTCTCCATGGGGCTCTTCTTGGTGTAGACATGCATGACCCCATCCACCATCTTACAGCTGTACCCTGTGTCTGCAGGCATGTTCTTGGTGTCCTGGTTTTCATAGGGGTGAGTCTCTGAGACAGGGGGGTGGACTGGAGCATCTGTGGGAGACAGTGGGGAAGGGAGAAAAGTTGACCATATTATTATACATCACTATTATTATACATCACTACTACATCACACATTTTCATTCACAATTTCACAAAGTAACTCAATTGCTAAAGAAGATGGGGGCAGAAACCCTACAGCTATGCCCTGTGTGTCTCAGTTTGTGTCATACCCAACGTGTCAGGTGTGTGAGTGGGTCATACCTGCATCAACGGGGGTTTCGGGGATCTCCTCATAGACGCGTAGGTCCAGGGGTTTCTCTCCCAGCTCCCCCAGCTCGCAGGCAGTGGTCTTACAGAAGTTCTGAATGGACATCGCAATGTATTTCTCCCTGATGAACAGGGCCTTCACCACACATTTAGCTGCATCCACCAGGTCTGTGAAGGGCACCTGGTCAGGGCAGAACGGTACAAATCAGGTCTACAGTGATTAGGCATCCACAGGCACCGTCAAGAGTGTGGCTGAGTGGGTAACAATTCCACAATTCTAGACCACATGCTGTCCCCACTGGAGACCGGGGTTCACTACCTGTTCCAGGCTCTCATTTCTAAACTGCCTCCAACTGTCTAAATAAATAAAAGTCAAAGCACTGCCAAACCCACTCCTCTTTTCCTTCAATAGACTTGTTGACGGAAGTGGTTTTCCTTCCATAGTGAGCATGTGGCACATACAGACCAACCAACTAGTACTTGGAATGATAAAACACTGATCAGGATGGACTGTGATTGGATTTATTCTATCAAGTTGTTTAGTCAGCAGCTCTCACCCCACACTTCTCCTCCCCTGATATTGAGACGCGCTGGTACTCTCGCTCCATCGGTAATACTCTCTCCTTCATCCAGCCATCATCCGTCCTGTCCACACCACCCACCTCATTCATAAACCTATAGGGAGAGAGTGAGATGAAGGAAAAACAGAGAAAGAGAGAGAGAGAGAGAAGGGGTAAAGAAAATATTAGGATAGGAGAGAGCATGGGGTTGAGGTATGATGTGGAGAGAAGGGAAGGAGAAATCTCATGTAAATAGTTCTGCAAAGCAGCTATGAAAATATATGAATCAATACTTTATTGGTAATGTACACTTTGAAGAAGGTTAAGTTGGAAATATGTCTCACTGTCTTTTTGTCTCTCTGTGAATTGCGCCTCAGCTGTTGCATATCTGCATTTAGACTGAATGATTCTTTAGGTCATGAATACCAAGGCATGTCTAAGTTTTGTTTTTAAGATGTTTAAGATGAACATCAAAAGACCAGGGCTTTACTGATGTAGTGGAAACTGTGGTGCAGGATTTCCATTAGGAAAATCAGGCGCCGGAGTAGTGACAGGGAATATTTTAATTTATCTGACATTTGAGAAATGTACTGGTGATCCTTATGCATTGGGTGCATAACCTAATAGCGCGTCCTCCCACGCAGCCAGCGCCATCAATAAACGAGGGATATTGGCCAAATGAGCCACATTTCCGTGTTCTTAAAAACAGCCTATAATAAATGACAAAAACACGATTCCTTGTGTTTCGATGTGTAGCATATGCTAAACTTTATAGCCTATTGTTATATTGTTTTTACTTTCCTAAAACAATAATTGTCCTCCTCACGGTTCAGCTGTCAGAGATTTGAGCACTAACTGCATGCATAGACCTATAGGCTTAGGTGTCAACTGTATGATATTATTTAAAAAAAGAAATATAAAGGAAGAGAAGCTTAGGCATAGCACCAGAGAGAGGAGATATGCTGGCGGCATGCTACGACACCGACATCCTAATTCACCAACTGTTTTCCGCGGCATCACTCAATAGAATTTTGAAAATGTTTCTTATAAAGTCATTCACAGTACTTTATTCAAGTGTAATAGACTACTGAGATGTTAGTAAAGAAATAAGTTGTTTCATCATCTTTTTTGTGATTCAAAATAGTTTAATGTGCAACCTAATCCAGTGATTGTCATGCGTTTAGGGTAGACAATTATGCTATTGTTATATTTTACAGTTAAAATAGTGCTCCAGATTTATTTTTTTATTTTTTTGATAGAGATTAATTTGCCTGCATCTTTATGCGCTCTAATATTATAGGATACTTTATTTGCGGCTAATTCACAACCTGAGTAAGTGGAAACTCGAAGCACATTAGCTAGATCACTAACTCTAAAGATAATACCCACTGCTAGTAGCCATGTATTAATCTAACAGCACATTTAATGTCCATCTGTGACAACCATAGACATTAAAACCCGTAGATAGTGATAGCGCTGACATCATCCATGTATTCTTATGGAAAACTCCGGATGGCACAGGAAGTAGTTGAATTTGAAGCAAGCCATATTGCTGAATAGGCCTAAATGGCACCCAAAAAAATCGCTAAGGTGGCCGTAACTAGCAAAGGATCATGGTTCATGTAGTCATTTTCATCCTGCCTGAGACAGTGGCAGGCAGGCAGACACCTTCGTTACAGGAATCATGAGGATAATGTACTTTTTGTACTGTTTGACCAAATCATGGTTTTAGCCCCCCAAAAAATAGTTTTGAGTGAGGTGAATGAATGTGCAGCTCGCACCGATGCGACCAATATTATTTTTTTTACTTGCACAGCCAAATCAAAGGGTCGCAAAATGCAACTAAATGGTCGGAGTCTAGAGCCCTGCCTTGTGGGCTTTTCACTATAGGCATACTCTCTAGCTTTCGTTTCACTTAAATGGAAAAGGGCTCCATCTTCGCAATCAACAGTAGCCTAGGCAAAGGCTCCTCTCTCGCTCTCTCTCTCCTCAGCAGAGGCAGCGCGCAAGGGTGAGAGAATGGTACTGAAGCGAATCGGGGTGATAGGCAGCCCTGGACAATTTGGCCAGCAACATTTTTATTTATCGGCTTTTCATTTATTTTATCAGCCAAAATACGTAAATTACCGGCTAACGGAAACCCTGCCGTGGCGATAAGAGCCTAGGAGATAGGTGCCAATTAGGCCAGTGAAAGGTTGCTGTTTTTTTTTTTTTGGGGGGGGGGGGGGGGGGGGGGGTTGACGTTGTTGTGGCAATTCAGAATTTTTTGTATGGCAATATGCAATGATTTTGTCTAATTTCACGCAAAAATGCGCTGACGAGAGAAAAAGTTTGTTGACGTGTGGCTTGATTTAATCATATTAAGCAGCAAATGTGCACTGATTGGTTGAAATTGCAAACCCTATTTTTGTACTGAGGTGATGGTCAGTTTTATGAGATAATATTGCGATGTATGCAGAAATAGTGCAGTGATTGGTCAAATTTGCAAGCCCTCACATAATATGCATAATTTTGCTTAAAAAACTGCAATCGCAGAATCCTGGAGGGACTGAATAACAGCCCTGTACCTCAGAGGCCTCCCTGAAGAATCCACATCAACATCACCTGTGATGACTATACCTCACATCACCAGTAGGGGGCAGCACACAGGGAACTCATTCTTCACTAATGGAGCTGGAGTGGAACATCCTCAATATATAACCAGATTATACATTTAAAATTAAACTCTTCGGCAAATGAGTGCCAAGGACTGTACATACGGTGTAGGTAAAAACTTGACTTTATGTATTCGCAAGATTGTTAGGAAAAGGCAAAAGATAGCGAGAGACTGAAAGTACAGCTCACTCACTCCAGGTCGGCAGTGCTGTCAATTTTCATGAACTCCTGCTTGGCGCGGAGCAGGATCTCTGGCTCAAGCCTGGCGTGGTAGTGGTGGGGGGGGGGGGGGGGGGGGGGGGGGGGGGGGGGGGGGCACACGTACACACATTTAAACACACAAGCACAGAAAGACAGACAGAGAAGATGCAAATACAGGTACACAAACAAAACACACAAGATAGCCACAGTAACGCACATGACACACACAAAGGGGATCAGAGTGTGAAGGGTGATCAGATGTGATGAGACAAACAGAGAAACATGATCAGTTAGCAGTGGTACAGACAGGATACCTTGATTGGTCACATATGGGGGGTGTTTGGGTGTGTATGGAGGAGTTGTGTTGGTGTGTATGTGACTGTGCATGTCTGCTGCTGTGTGTGTGTCCCTACTTGATGTCCTGGCTGATCTGCCTCTCCAGGCGTTGGCGTCTCTCCTCCAGCTGCTCGATGGGGCTGTCCTCAGGGAACTCATAAGGAGCGGTGCGCATCTCACTCTCCGTCAGGCTACGAGTGAACAGCTCCTGAGAGATACACAGAGAGTCAAATAAACATTAGAACACACAGGAAGAGTTAACTAAACATTACAATACACAAACTTACATAAACAACATGAACATTTAACACCCACACAAACATCTAACACACGCATAGTCGCACACAAACATCTAACACACGCACAGTCGCACACAAACATCTAACACACGCACAGTCGCACACAAACATCTAACACACGCACAGTCGCACGCAAACACGTATTTGGAAAGTGCTTGACAACACTGTGTCCCTGTGCTCTCACCTCGGCGATCTCCTTGTACTTTCCGTCCATGGATGTACGCAGGTTGATGGGGAAGTGTTTGAGTGTGTGAGTGACAGGTGTCCCAGGGAGGGAGCGCTGAGGCTTCAGGGGCTTGGCCTGCCCTGCTACACCACGCAGATCTAGATCGAGGGAGAGCGATGGAGAGGAAGATAGAAAGAGAGAGGCAGAGTGTTAAACAACAAATAATAAACATTACAAAAAAAAAAAAAAAAAAGTTCTACAACAGGGAGGGAGAGACAGACAGTTGTTATTGAGTGGATTTTCAACATTCAGAGGAAACATTTAAACACTGTCTGATCTTTTCACAGCCACAACTCTTGCGTCATCACCTCCAACATGGGCCTGCACTAGTACACTCCACTCCGGTCCTCTTCTCTCTCAACTACAGCCTCGTCTCTCAGCAGCTGTGTTGTGCTCTGCATACAGCACAGAGGAGCTTCCCTACTGTATGACAGCTTCAGTGGTGTGTTAGTCTCTCCACAGCACTGCTGACTCTGAGCTGTGTCTCTGTTGGCTGCCCACTGCAGCATGTGTCAGGCAGCAGCAGCAGGAGTGGTGTGTGTGTGTGTGTTTATGTGTGGTATATAGCCCACACTAAGGGGCATTCAGACGGATGCTCATTAACAGAGATAAATGTGGTCAGACGCCAGCCACCCGTTGCCATGGAGACCTGGTCTGTAGAGAGGGGAGGAGAGGTTGGGGAGGGGAGCACAATAACATCACCTTCCCCTGAGACGGACGCAGCAGGGTGAGAGAGTACACACTACACTGGCAGGCAGAGAACAAAGACCCCACTGTGTCTGTCCCATAGAAAACACACACAGACACACACACAGAGAGAGAGAGAGAGAGAGAGACAGAGACAGACAGACAGACAGACAGACAGACAGACAGACAGACAGACAGACAGACAGAGAGAGAGAGAGAGAGAGAGAGAGAGAGAGAGAGAGAGAGAGAGAGAGAGAGAGAGAGAGAGAGAGAGAGAGAGAGAGAGAGAGAGAGAGATGAGGGCTTAATAAGATGAGGGCTAAACTGTGTGTGTGTGTTTTCAGAGAATGCTGCTTTGGCATGATCATCCCATAAGGCCTTTACACTGGAGGGGACCCCTGAGATGCAGAGGGTTACATTTTAAGACAGACGAGCCCTGTAAATTAGTGTGTGTGTGTGTGTCTGTCCAACAGCATGCTCTGCTAGGCCTAATCACCCCATGAAAGATGCCAGAGCCACTGGACTCATCAAACACAGACAGACAGACAGACAGACAGACTCTGGCCTCAATGACTGTCCATTCATGTCAGTATCACCACACTACAGTCATATGTGCTCTGTAATACACAGTACTCATTGAATAAGGCTAAACACAAACAGTGCCATCACTGCATGTATCATGAACTTTTAATACAATGGGCTCATTCAGTTGTGCTAAGCATGATCACTATGTCATCATCAGCACAGTCAGATTCACCCTATGCACATGACATTTATTCAATGATAATAAACTATATTCTATCAAAGTACCAGTGTCATCATTATGTTATCTCCAATGGATTTCCCACAGTGAAGCATAGCTGTAGCCTACTGACGTTACAAGCGTGATTCTGAAGATAGGGAGTGAGATTTTTAATTAGAGAAGAATGGATAAACTTTTTCAATGCTAGTTAGGCATACTATAGTTATCACATTTCACATTGGAATTATTAACTACAAAAAGGTAAGACGTGTTTTTAATTCTGGTGCCGCTCTGCACGCACAAGCTTGTTAGCTAGCTAGCTTCCCTGGTCCTACGTTAAGCCAACTCTGAAGTTCAAAGACATTCCATGTTGATCCATAGAAGCCGCTGCTCCGTAGGTATAATTCCATGAGTAATTCAGATAATGCATGTCATCACATGCATCTCATCACAGAACTAGGCCTACTGGGAGACTAAAGCAAAGCAACCCACTGACATCTACAGCAATTGAAAGTCTTCAACTATGCTGCTAGACTTCTGGGGTAAAGCAACATGTATAAGTAGGCAGGTTTAGACAGGACTGCAGTGGTTGATGGTCCTACCTCCCCTATATGAGATTTTGTATTATACTTCTAATTTATGGGGCTTTATTTTGTATATATTTTTTTCAACATCAGTTTATAGGTTCACCTTGACCTACAGTGGGGAGAACAAGTATTTGATACACTGCCGATTTTGCAGGTTTTCCTACTTACAAAGCATGTAGAGGTCTGTAATTTTTATCATAGGTACACTTAGACGGAATCTAAAACAAAAATCCAGAAAATCACATTGTATGATTTTTAAGTAATTAATTTGCATTTTATTGCATGACATAAGTATTTGATACATCAGAAAAGTAGAACTTAATATTTGGTACAGAAACCTTTGTTTGCAATTACAGAGATCATACGTTTCCTGTAGGTCTTGACCAGGTTTGCACACATTGCAGCAGGGATTTTGGCCCACTCCTCCATACAGACCTTCTCCAGATCCTTCAGGTTTTGGGGCTGTCGCTGGGCAATACGGACTTTCAGCTCCCTCCAAAGATTTTCTATTGGGTTCAGGTCTGGAGACTGTCTAGGCCACTCCAGGACCTTGAGATGCTTCTTACGGAGACACTCCTTAGTTGCCCTGGCTGTGTGTTTTGGGTCGTTGTCATGCTGGAAGACCCAGCCACAACCCATCTTCAATGCTCTTACTGAGGGAAGGAGGTTGTTGGCCAAGATCTCGCGATACATGGCCTCATCCATCCTCCCCTCAATACGGTGCAGTCGTCCTGTCCCCTTTGCAGAAAACCATCCCCAAAGAATGATGTTTCCACCTCCATGCTTCACGGTTGGGATGGTGTTCTTGGGGTTGTACTCATCATTCTTCTTCCTCCAAACACGGCGAGTGGAGTAAAGACCAAAAAGCTCTATTTTTGTCTCATCAGACCACATGACCTTCTCCCATTCCTCCTCTGAATCATCCAGATGGTCATTGGCAAACTTCAGACGGGCCTGGACATGCGCTGGCTTGAGCAGGGGGACCTTGCGTGCGCTGCAGGATTTTAATCCATGACGGCGTAGTGTGTTACTAATGGTTTTCTTTGAGACTGTGGTCCCAGCTCTCTTCAGGTCATTGACCAGGTCCTGCCGTGTAGTTCTGGGCTGATCCCTCACCTTCCTCATGATCATTGATGCCCCACGAGGTGAGATCTTGCATGGAGCCCCAGACCGAGGGTGACTGACCGTCATCTTGAACTTCTTCCATTTTCTAATAATTGCGCCAAACAGTTGTTGCCTTCTCACCAAGCTGCTTGCCTATTGTCCTGTAGCCCATCCCAGCATGTGCAGGTCTACAATTTTATCCCTGATGTCCTTACACAGCTCTCTGGTCTTGGCCATTGTGGAGAGGTTGGAGTCTGTTTGATTGAGTGTGTGGACAGGTGTCTTTTATACAGGTAACGAGTTCAAACAGGTGCAGTTAATACAGGTAATGAGTGGAGAAAAGGAGGGCTTCTTAAAGAAAAACTAACAGGTCTGTGAGAGCCGGAATTCTTACTGGTTGGTAGGTGATCAAATACTTATGTCATGCAATAAAATGCAAATTAATTACTTTAAAATCATACAATGTGATTTTCTGGATTTTTGTTTTAGATTCCGTCTCTCACAGTTGAAGTGTACCTATGATAAAAATTACAGACCTCTACATGCTTTGTACAGTGGGGAAAAAAAGTATTTAGTCAGCCACCAATTGTGCAAGTTCTCCCACTTAAAAAGATGAGAGAGGCCTGTAATTTTCATCATAGGTACACGTCAACTATGACAGACAAAATGAGAAAAAAAAATCCAGAAAATGACATTGTAGGATTTTTTATGAATTTATTTGCAAATTATGGTGGAAAATAAGTATTTGGTCACCTACAAACAAGCAAGATTTCTGGCTCTCACAGACCTGTAACTTCTTCTTTAAGAGGCTCCTCTGTCCTCCACTCGTTACCTGTATTAATTGCACCTGTTTGAACTTGTTATCAGTATAAAAGACACCTGTCCACAACCTCAAACAGTCACACTCCAAACTCCACTATGGCCAAGACCAAAGAGCTGTCAAAGGACACCAGAAACAAAATTGTAGACCTGCACCAGGCTGGGAAGACTGAATCTGCAATAGGTAAGCAGCTTGGTTTGAAGAAATCAACTGTGGGAGCAATTATTAGGAAATGGAAGACATACAAGACCACTGATAATCTCCCTCGATCTGGGGCTCCACGCAAGATCTCACCCGTGGGGTCAAAATGATCACAAGAACGGTGAGCAAAAATCCCAGAACCACACGGGGGGACCTAGTGAATGACCTGCAGAGAGCTGGGACCAAAGTAACAAAGCCTACCATCAGTAACACACTACGCCGCCAGGGACTCAAATCCTGCAGTGCCAGACGTGTCCTCCTGCTTAAGCCAGTACATGTCCAGGCCCGTCTGAAGTTTGCTAGAGTGCATTTGGATGATCCAGAAGAGGATTGGGAGAATGTCATATGGTCAGATGAAACCAAAATATAACTTTTTGGTAAAAACTCAACTCGTCGTGTTTGGAGGACAAAGAATGCTGAGTTGCATCCAAAGAACACCATACCTACTGTGAAGCATGGGGGTGGAAACATCATGCTTTGGGGCTGTTTTTCTGCAAAGGGACCAGGACGACTGATCCGTGTAAAGGAAAGAATGAATGGGGCCATGTATCGTGAGATTTTGAGTAAAAACCTCCTTCCATCAGCATGGGCATTGAAGATGAAACGTGGCTGGGTCTTTCAGCATGACAATGATCCCAAACACACCACCCGGGCAACGAAGGAGTGGCTTCGTAAGAAGCATTTCAAGGTCCTGGAGTGGCCTAGCCAGTCTCCAGATCTCAACCCAATAGAAAATCTTTGTAGGGAGTTGAAAGTCTGTGTTGCCCAGCGACAGCCCCAAAACATCACTGCTCTAGAGGAGATCTGCATGGAGGAATGGGCCAAAATACCAGCAACAGTGTGTGAAAACCTTGTGAAGACTTACAGAAAACGTTTGACCTGTGTCAATGCCAACAAAGGGTATATAACAAAGTATTGAGAAACTTTTGTTATTGACCAAATACTTATTTTCCACCATAATTTGCAAATAAATTCATTAAAAATCCTACAATGTGATTTTCTGGA